TTTGCATCCCAGGGTTGAATGTTATTTCTGATTTTCAGGTTATTAAAATTTCTTTTTCTTGAATTCCTGAGAAAATGAGAAAAAATGGCATAACCGGGAACACCGAATGGTGATTTTATCTTTATCAGATGATTAAAGTATCTATTATACATTTACCCCACAATTATTGAGTTATCTGTACAATAACACCCAGTGATATTTCTGATATTATGGAAATCTGTGTAATATTTTTCATAAAATCTTTTATCAGCCACACATATAGCTGCTATCATTTATCAGCCACATATCTGTATGATAAAAGAATTTGAATGTTTTGGATGTTTTTGAACTTTAGATTGTATCATAGGACAAGGCATTAACATGACAAAATGTCACCATCTATTGCTGAAAACTGGAAGATGATTTTGAAAAAAAATTGATCAATTTGAAGCAAGTTGTAAAAATACCTTTTTTGACCCTGAGAAGGTCATTGAAGGTGAAATCTCAAATCTAAAGTCAGATTTGAACTGCTGAGAACTTGTAGATGATTTTGAAATTGTTTGACCTTGAGAAGGTTATTAAAGGTAAAAAACTTTTTTGACCTTGCTAATGTCATTGAAGGTTTACTCGATAGTCTAATTTTTTAAAGTCTTTTAAGAACTTCCAGATGATTTTGAGAAATATTGGTCAATTTAAAGCATGTTGAAAAAGACCCCCTTGCACTTTTTTGACCTTGAGAAGCCCAGTGAAGGTCAAATCTCAATTCTAAAGTCAGATTTGAACTTCTGATAACTTGTAGATAATTTTAAAAAAATGGTCAATTTGGATCATGTTGAAAAAAACGTTTTTGACCTTTTTTGACCTTGAAAAGGTCTTTGAAGTTCAAATCTTAAATATAAAGTCAGATTAGAACTTCTGAAAACTTGTAGATGATTTTGAAAAAAACTGAAGTCAGTCTTAACAGTGTTTGTTAAGTTATTGGAAGTTCTAAGAATTTGTTACAGACGCCAACGACCAACCACCAACCATCAACCACTGCTACTAAAAACCGAGACCATAACAATATGTTACTACTTTTTGATGGTGACATAATAAACCCAACATAAGATCAATTCTAGTGATATCAATTTATTGCCTTGTAATTATCAAATATCAACACTCATTTGCTTCGATCACTTGTGCTGATATTTAATAATAACTCATTGATAAAATTGATATTACTCAAAATGATCTGATATATGTATATATCAACATTTTGATCCATCTGAAATGTTTCTTCTCGTAAAGTTATAATAGTTATCACATCTTAAAGTGTGCGCCCGACCTGGCTACGTATATAACAGAGTTTATACTGGCGGATTAGACTAGTTCATTTTTTATATGTGTGTGAAAGCTTTCTCTTATTTGCGTTTTTTTCGTTTAGTACGGTTTTGTTATAATTGCCGAGGTCATATAACCGGGATAAAACAATGATTATCGTTGACTGCGCACACACAAAACATTAACGTCGAGTGAACAGTGTTATTAAAAACAACAAGCTTTAAAATACAATGCCCAGTAGTGTGATAATAAGCTGTACACTACCACTGCTGCATGTACATATAAGGGCTCATAAAGAGTGGATAGGGAGGCTGTGTTTGTCACTTTTAAATTTTACATTTCAAAATTGCCATTTTACATGTCATGATTTCTTGGTTTCATTCGTTTAGCCGATCAAAACATTGTAAAACAATAAATCGTCTGTTACGTATAATCAATTTTGTTCAGTTTTGATTAGTTGTCAATGAAGTTACGTTCATCTGAATCCATGATTCAAAACAAAAATCATATTTTCTTCACTTCAAAATACTTCAGTGAGATGAATGCTCGGAATTGTCGTTTGCAATAACTTATTGTCGTATTCGTTCTTTTATCTACTCGATAGAAGCATTTAGTCGTACATTTGATGCCAGGTCACCTTCTCGCGTACCTCTTGGGGAGCCCCACATTTGTGTCTGTACTCATGGAAGTAAATTCCCCGGTGTAGCCGAGAGCCACAAACTTTCAACAGGTTCGAAATGGCCAATTTCTCTCATATATACTCATATTTTATTAATTATCACCAGTACGAAGTATTGCTAATAACTATATGTAATTTCAATAAGGAAACTTATCTGGCTACATGTAAATTCAATATCAACACTAGATGTTCGCTCAACACGTCCTGGCTTACCTTGTGATGACAAACCCTGGGTTTTCACTATTTATAGTTTATCAACACCTGGACGCATGCGCATTTTATAGTTTATCAGGCACTTTAAGTGTGTCAAATATGCTAGGCAAAACATTCCCTTTTATCTTGAGATCAAAATTACTTAACAGAAAAGAACATGAAGAATGTCAATGCCTAATGTCTATGAGCATGACAATACCTACAACATGTTTCTTAGGGCTAATAAAACTATGAAGTACAAATATGTTAACACAATTTGATTGTCCAACCCTCTTTATTTAAACATTATTTGTATTTCTCTCTAACCTATGTATTATACTGTAGAATCAGTCCACATTTAAAATGTGTTTGTTCAATGTCTTTCACAAGTGGGATCAATACAATAATGAATCACTTCTCAATAGAAAGGGGATTCCCCAATATACAATTGGAAAAGAACAAGATCAATGCAGGTGCTGGGAATTCCAAATTTCTTGAAAAACAATATGTATAAAAATGTAATAAATATTAAAATATAATGTAAACTCTAAACAGCATGGTATTAAAGACAATGGATAATGAACATTGATGAAATTTATTAATTATAGGAGGAAAACTCTAAAAAGTATAGTGTCACTCTATTCAAAAGAATACAAATAGATGTACGTTGATATCATATATGCATTTTAGGCAATTTCTGAAAACATTGAAGATATCATGAGGAAAGTATCTGAATTAATAAACAAAAGAGAACAGGCTTCAACATAAACAATAATATAATCAATACAAGCTGTATTAGAATGAGCCCTCTAAGGATGGTAGGACATGGTGATGTCCATATATTCTAAAATGCAACCAAGTAAAATAAGATAATTTATCTAAATAAATAAAAATGGGATATGTTATTCCTGATTGTTCCTGTGATGTCAATATATTCTCAAATGTTACCAAGTACATTGTACATTAAGATAATTTATCTTATTAAATAAAAATGGGATATGTTATTCCTGATTGTTCCTGTTGACTTTGCCTAATTAATATCATCATAATAGTGTGATGATACATAATGCTTCAGACAGAATAACATTATTTAAATTTCATCATACAGACATAAGTGCTCAAACAAAGCTAATGCGTCTTAATACGTTGGAGATTTGGAGTAAGAAAGTTGGAATTAAATCCTGTACATTTTACTCATTGTACATTATATGATAATGGGAGCAGGTAGTAGTAATAGTAACAGTAGTAGTCATAGACAGAAAGTAATCACATCTTTAATCAAGAACACTCTCACTGCATCTGAAGACCAACAACTATCTAAACATGTAACTGAATTATACAGCTTGGCTAAATTGAAACACAGCCAGAAAGACATAGACAGCCATGAACAGTATATCAGGACTCGTGTTATACAACCAATTATTGATAAATTCAACAAAATGCAACCAGCATTAGCAGTGGATGATGTACTACTAAATGGAAGCATGTCAAATAAAAGTAAAATAGAATCTCCCAATGAGACTGATTTTGTCCTCCCAATGGCTCTCTCCAGATATGTAGTGATATCTCCTAGCGATAGTGAAGCAGAGGATTATGAGCCTGGTGAGTTGTATGTAGATTTACCTGATGATCCTCACACTGATTTACTAAATCTCACTAAGAAACATCAAGAATTAATTAAGTATGACAATTCACTAGATCCATATCATTTAACTGCTTCTATTATACATGAAACTGTTGCAGAGTGTTTATCACAACTACACACTGAGTGTGTACTGATCTACAAGGGAGAGAAAGATCTAAAGTATGAGCCTGTAGAATCATCTCAGCTGGAAGAGAATGCAGTCATCCTGCATTGGAGACCACATGGTCCATGCATCCAACTCAGGGTGTGGGGACCATTGTATGTTACAGACATAGATCTGGCATTCTGTCTGAAAATACTCAATATACCTCAGCTGCCTCATACAGAGGACAATTTCTTTATGGCATTGCCTATGAGATACTGGGTGAAATCATTCTATGAGAAACCACACTTGCGAGCATCCAGGATAGATGATCATCATAGGATTATACTGAAAACACTGAAATATATTCTATCACAGTATGAGAAGACACTTCATGTTTATGATAAAACAGAGTTACATTCCCATGCACTATTCACCATAGTAAGATACCACCAGGAGCAATGTGATAACACTGCAGAAGAACCATCTATTGCTGAATGTTACTGTGACATCTCAAACAATCTATGTAAGCTGTTGCTAGAATCTGTAGAGAATACAACAGAGGTTAAAGTAAGTGATGATTGGATTGAAGATCTCTTTGATAAAGACTGTCCTGATATGGATATCTATAAATCAGTTTATGGTGATTATAGAAGCACTGAAACAAGAGTATTCCTACTTGTTGTGTACATCCTATCAGAACTACTGACAACATCATGTATAAGTTCTCTTGAGTTCTACTGTGAGTATCTGAAACTGGTGTTTAGAGAGTGTGAGCTAGAATACTGGAGACAACTGATACTCCAGAATCCACGCAGGAAGTATAGATCTAGTAAGAGGGAAGAGATCTCATCTGTAGAGGATGTTGAGAAATTACGAAAATATTATCATGTTTATGATTATCCAGTTATGGTTGATACAGAGAGAATTCTGTCAAGACTGAAACCCAAGATAACCTCACTGCAACCAAACATTCAATCTCATAGCAGTGAACCCAGTGTATATGAAGCCAATACCAAGCAAAAGTATACCCACTTCTTATCTCAAACATCCTCATTAGGATCTCACTCCACTGAACTAGTGCTTGCTGTCTCACCATTATTCTCACTTTGCCCCCATAACTTGTCAATCATCCCAGACCCAAGCAGGACTTCACCATGTTATATACCAGGATGTGCAAGCTGAACATTACTATCATAAAACATACATGCAGAATCAGGCAGGACAACAGTACCATATGGCACACATGTTTAATACTCAGGGTTATACTCAGCTAAATTACAACCCATTCTTACCTCAAACAGTATCACTGGAATCAAACGTGCAATATCATAGTAAGACCAGTGTATTTGAGAACAATACTGAGCTGTATTCCAGCAATCAGGACCAAACACCCCAATTATCTTGGGCAATCCCATCAGGATCAAACGGTTCATCTCATAACACAAAAGTCAGTATATCAGAGGACAATAGTAAGTTACTGTCTGTCATTCAGGAACCAACCCAAGTTGTATCTTCAACAGAAAAATGGTGCCATTGTGAAAGATGTGGGGAAAGTAGTAACATAGTCAGCAAATGTTGGATCTGCAATCTCATAACTTGCCTTAAATGTAATATATTGGGACTAAAATATAAACTCTGCTCACCATGTTTAAGCCATTGGAAGAACTCCAAAAAATCTGAGGAGAGAACTGATCAATATTCTGACAGCTGTGGACAAATCTCGGTTCCATATTACACAGGATCAAAATCAAATGAACTTTCAGGGTCAAGGGCATCTGAAGAGTCAGCTCCATCACAAACTAAGAAACGCAAAAGAAACCAAGAAGGAGATTGATACTAAGATATATAATAAGAGAACAAATGTAATTAAAGTATGGCCTAGAGATATTATCAGATACATAGTATTTATATTGGATATGTATTATAAAGGACTTCATAACAGAATTCATTGCGAACTAAGATGGACTTTCATGCCATCGACAATAGGCACTATGACATAATTTGTAAGCTGCAACAACAAATACAAACACATAGCGAGCAGATTCTGTTAGTGTAAGTAGACCTTTCAGTTATCTAGTGCTATGATATAATGTCATGCAAAATTTTTCACAGTTTTCTCTTTTAATCTGAACTTGACTATTTGACATTGCTTGACAGTTTAAAGTTTGTCAACACATAAGTTTGCTTTACTTTGTGACATGGGCTAACTTTACCTCAGACCTCAGTCTCCCCTCAACACCTCCAGGAATAAATGGCAAGTCCCAGGCTCAACAAAGGTATGTTGAATGTTGATGTGGTGTTCTCATGTTGAAACTGGACTCTATTATACATACAGACGATGTCCTTAAATGATGAATCATAACTTCATGTATTTCGGAGTGGATGCATTACCCCAAAGAGCACTACCTCACTATCCCCCCTCAACATCCCAAGAATAAATGGCAAGTCCCAGGCTCAACAAAGGTATGTTGAATGTTGATGTGGTGTTCTCATGTTGAAACTGGACTCTATTATACATACAGACGATGTCCTTAAATGATGAATCATAACTTCATGTATTTCGGAGTGGATGCATTACCCCAAAGAGCACTACCTATCTCCCCTCAACATCCCAAGAATAAATGGCAAGTCCCTGGCTCAACAAAGGTATGTTGAATGTCAATGTGATGTTCTAATGTTGAGACTGGACTCTATTATACATACAGACGATGTCCTTAAATGATGAATCATAACTTCATGTATTTCAGAGTGGATGCATTACCCCAAAGAGCAATACCTCACTATCTCCCCTCAACATCCCAAGAATAAATGGCAGGTCCCTGGCTCAACAAAGGTATGTTGAATGTCAATGTGATGTTCTAATGTTGAGACTGGACTCTATTATACATACAGACGATGTCCTTAAATGATGAATCATAACTTCATGTATTTCAGAGTGGATGCATTACCCAAAGAGCACTACCTCACTATCTCCCCTCAACATCCCAAGAATGAATGGTATTTCATGGCTCATCAAAGGTATGTTGAATGTTGATGTGAAGTTCTAATGTTGAAACTGGAGTCTATTATACTGTATATACAAACTGCACTTAAATGATGAATCATAACTTCATGTATTTCAGAGTGGATGCATTACCCAAAGAGCACTACCTCACTATCTCCCCTCAACATCCCAACAATAAATGACAAGTCCCAGGCTCAACAAAGGTATTTTGAATGTTGATGTGGTGTTCTCATGTTGAAACTGGACTCTATTACATATACAAACTGTACTTTAATGATGAATCATAACTTTATGTATTTCAGAGTGGATGCATTACCCCAAAGAGCACTACCTCACTATCCCCCCTCAACATCCCCAAGAATGAATGGCAATCCCTGGCTCAACAAAGGTATTTTGAATGTTGATGTGGTGTTCTCATGTTCAAACTGGACTCTATTACATATACAAACTGTACTTTAATGATGAATCATAACTTTATGTATTTCAGAGTGGATGCATTACCCCAAAGAGCACTACCTTACTATCTCCCTCAACATCCAAAGAATGAATGACAAGTCCTTAGCTCATAAAAGGTATGTTGAATGTTGATGTGGTGTTCTCATGTTGAAACTGGACTCTATTACATATACAAACTGTACTTAAATGATGAATCATAACTTCATGTATTTCAGAGTGGATGTGTTACCCCAAAGAGCACTACCTCACTATCTCCCTCAACATCCAAAGAATGAATGACAAGTCCTTGGCTCATCAAAGGTATGTTGAATGTTGATGTGATGTTCTAATGTTGAGACTTGACTCTATTATATATACAAACTGTACTTAAATGATGAATCATAACTTCATGTATTTCAGAGTGGATGTGTTACCCCAAAGAGCACTACCTTACTATCTCCCTCAACATCCAAAAGATGAATGACAAGTCCTTGGCTCATAAAAGGTATGTTGAATGTTGATGTGATGTTCTAAAATTGAGATTGGACTCTATTATATTTACAATCTGTACTTCAATGATGAATCATAACTTCATGTATTTCAGAGTGGATGCATTACCCATAAGAGCACTACCTCACTATCTCCCCTCAACATCCCAAGAATGAATGGCAAATCCCTGGCTCATCAAAGGTATGTTTAATGTTAATGTTATGTTCTAATGTTGAGACTGGACTCTATTATACTGTATATACAAACTGTACTTAAATGATGAATCATAACTTCATGTATTTCAGAGTAGATGCATTACCCCAAAGAGCACTACCTTACTACAGTATCTCCCCAACATCCCCAAGAATGAATGGAATGTCCCTGGCTCATCAAAGGTACGTTTAATGTTGATGTTCTAATGTTGAGACTGGACTCTATTATGCTGTATATACAAACTGTACTTAAATGATGAATCATAACTTGATGTATTTCAGAGTAGATGCATTACCCTTGAAAGCACTACCTCACTATCTCCCCTCAACATCCCCAAGAAGGAATGGCATGTCTATGGCTCATCAAAGGTATGTTAACCCATTGCTCTTACAATGTTAACCCAATGGTTAGGGGTGGGGGCAGATCTGCCCTCCCCCTAAGGAACTTTTTTTCATAGATTATCTTTTGACCTGAAACTTTCTGGCTTTTTTTTAAAACTGATTTAGGCATGTTTTAGCGAAATAATTGTGACTCTTACACTACAAGGAGGAAATTTAAAGCTGTTCGAAATTGGTAAAATACCCAAATTGTCATTTTTTACTTGAAATGAATAACCCCTATGTTCTAAGAATATGAATTTCTTCATTATTAATGGCTTAATAAGTAAGCTCAAAATACTGGGAATTGAATATCATTTCCAATGATACCTAATACACATTCATATGATTGTCTGTTCCTTAGATAATATGGGGGGGGGGCAGATCTGCCTTCTCATTGTTGGTGTAAATCTCTACAGCCTAACCGTTTAAGGGTTAAGTGACTCCGATCAGTTTCCCTATTATCTAATTGTTTTCTTACTATTCAGACAAGGCTTTAACCACTGATGCCATCTATTTCAAAATCTATAATAAGTCATCTACATTATACTACTAGTCTTAGTGTATATTTCCTTTTCAGTCTGTTTACATTACAAAGTAAAGCAAGACCGATCTTGATGAAATATTATAGATAGTATCACTTTGAATCAATCAATCAATCCAACCAATGAAACAGCTATTTACAGGTACCCCGAATTATTATTTAATTAACCATCGCATGTGGAGTCTGATCAACTTTGCAGGGGCAACCTCCATCCCCAATCAAGTATACTTTGGAGTGCTCCGAAACGTGAGGAGGTAGAAGTACTGATGATGCGACATGTCCACTTTATTGACCTTCCAAACCTCACCACTATCTTTAATGTATTGTAGCATAGCACCAAGTCAATGATGTTTAATAAAACTTTAACTATCAAGTGGTTTCATGAATTGCTTGATCCGATACAGCCACCAAACTTTGTCACAAACAGAGATTTAGGACTGCATTTAAATAAGTTTACTCTAAATATGATTTTTTAATGTTCAACAATCCAATGGAATGAAGTCCCTTTTCATGTTTCATTTGAGAGTATTCTGTTGACCATTTTCAACCCATCCATTGACAAAATTGATTGTTTAAAAAAGTAGGATAAGCACGGAGATGGACTCATATCTTTTCAAAATTTTAACAAAACATACATACCATTTTCAACTGCTCCTCGCCAAACTCCAGGTGGCAGCACAGGGTACTCCAGAGAGCGGGAAGTTTAATTCCGGCAAACTGCCCAAGTTCTAAGGCTAGTTTTGACAGTATACACCTAAACAGAACATGCATAAATATACTATAAATGTGTTATTTTGATAATAAATATTTTGAGTTATCTGTATTCAATAATTCCAGGGATAGTTTTGAGTCTTAACTTAGAGGAATCAGTTCTAATCATTAAATTTTTAATTATTTCATGAATCAGAGGGCCAATCAGAGGGTTCAATACTCAAACAATAAATTTAATTAAATCACATGGAGAAAAAAGTAAAATCAAATTGCAATATTGAAAAAATCTTCTTGATTATAAATAATTTATGATGGCAAATGAAGACACCAAATTACAAAATATTTATTTACGTTATGTTCGTCTGCAACATCTCACAGGCGTGTTCATCAGGTAGAAGTAACAGCTTACTGGTTAGATCAATGTCCGTCTGCTCTTCAATCCCCTTGAACAAACATATAAAATAAATGTCATGCTTATTTCACTTTCATTCAATGTGATTTCTGTACAATTTAAATTCTTGACATCATGTATATTAAACCTGCACATCACTCCAAAACGCAATCTTGGGTTGTTTCGGGGGTGAACTTTATCATTTTGAGCTTAATGAAAGATTTTAGAATGATGAACAAATGGGGCAAATCTTGTGTATAAATACTTACGATAAATGTGTCATTTGAAAGATTGTTCATTGAATTGTTTCGATTGGTGACGACAATATGATTTTGGAAAGGTTTCTAAATTAAGAAAGTGACATCACTTCCGAATTATCGCATTTAACATAAGTAGCGTTTAATTACTCCAATCATTCATAATAACTCGGTGGCCTTGCGGTAGAATGCTTGCTTAGCACGCAGGAGGCTCGGGTTCGAATCCCCAACGAACTTTTTTATTTTTTTAACTAAATGATTGTTCTTTGATATTACGCAGAAAAAAACTTTTTTATATACATAAACTTTATATTAAAAACAATATATGCCAACATATTGCAATTTGGAGCAATGTGCAGGTTTAACTTTATTCCTTGCTAATTCCTCTCTTGTCTTGTCTATTTGACATTTTAAAATATGACAGACAATGTTGTTCCAATCTTTTTTCAATGTCTGTCTGATTCATATATATTATTTTAAGTCCCTACTTATTCTATCCTCTATGTAATAATTTCAACATCTGCTCTATAATGCTCGTTAATCTCTTGATTTCAGCAAACTGATAAACCAATAATAGGATTCCAACAATTTGGACCAAATGACCATGTGTGATCAAAGTAGACAAAAAGTTCTACACTGGGATAACAAAGAAGCCATCCTGTGGCATTCACTTCCCCAAGCAGTGTTAGAGCCTTCATTTTCAACTGTTCTCCTTTATATTTCCAGATGAATGATTCTGTTTGGAGAATGCGAGAGCAGCCCTCTGCCATCTCATTGCTGTTAGTAGCAATTCCCATAGTGTCCCTGAACTAAGACATGGCAGATTAGCAAGGCTGCAGACTACCTTGAAAATATGAATCCAGAGGCTTAAGAGTGTCCCTGAACTAAGTCACTGCAGATTAGCAAGGCTGCAGACTACCTTAGAAATATGTATCCAGAGGCTTAAGAGTGTCCCTGAACTAAGTCACGTCAGATTAGCATGGCTGCAGACTACCTTGAAAATATGTATCCAGATGCCTAAGAGTGTCCCTGAACTAAGTCACGTCAGATTAGCATGGCTGCAGACTACCTTAGAAATATGTATCCAGAGGCTTAAGAGTGTCCCTGAACTAAGTCACGTCAGATTAGCATGGCTGCAGACTACCTTGAAAATATGTATCCAGATGCCTAAGAGTGTCCCTGAACTAAGTCACGTCAGATTAGCAAGGCTGCAGACTACCTTGGAGATATGAATCCAGAGGCCTACGAGTGGTCCTGATCAAAGTCACTGCAGATTGGTGGCTGCAGACTACCTTGAAAATATGTATCCAGAGGCTTATAGACTATTAAGACAGAGATTTAAGGAGCCTTTGAACCATTATATGATACTGCATTGAGGTGATCAACAAATTGGACACAAATTGAGCAATGCTTATCTTAACTCTAGTCAAAGTTCTGTTGCTACATTGAGATAGCAATTCTTTTTGGCTCATATATGTATTTGTTAGACTGTTTATCCCAAATACCATTGACTGTATATTCTAAATAGCACTGACTGTATATTTTAAATACCATTGACTGTATATTCTAAATAGCACTGACTGTATATTCTAAATACCATTGACTGTATATTCTAAATACCATTGACTGTATATTCTAAATAGCACTGACTGTATATTCTAAATACCATTGACTGTATATTCTAAATAGCACTGAATGTATATTCTAAATACCATTGACTGTATATTCTAAATAGCATTGACTGTATATTCTAAATACCATTGACTGTATATTCTAAATAGCACTGACTGTATATTCTAAATACCATTGACTGTATATTCTAAATACCCTTGCCTGTATATTCTAAATACCATTGACCGTATATATTCTAAATATCACTGATTGTATATTCTAAATACCATTGACACTATATTTTAAAAGCCATTTTTATATAACAAAATATAAATGCTTCCTTTTAAATGTAATCTGGATGTAGTTAAAATGTAATTCTGTTACAAAGCATCACAACATATGCCCAGTAGGGCATCTAGTGGCATGATTTTATAGTGTATATTATATAGGAATTATGAAATGAGCTGAATAGACTAATACATGATAAGTCAGAGTGAGAACAATATTCTTAACTTCTGTGTTGAAGAGCTCTCATTTCTGGTGCAGAATATTTTTCACATCTGGGTTCTTTCCCATTGAAATAATAAACAGGGTCCGATTTTGACCTAACATTTCAGCTTTATTTGACATTCTTCTTCACATATACTTGCATAATCGATAAAAAATATATGTCCTTATCATAACTGCAAGGCATTTCCACATATATTTTCCTAAACTGACGAAGATAATCATGAAATGTATTATTGGGATGACATTGACTCATTTCCGGAAGCCGAGACCCAATGACTGGATATGAAACAAGAACCAAGTTCTTATGTATATAAAATTGGTTGAACTTTATGTTTATATATATTTGACTTGTATCAATTGGGAGGGTTGTAACTGGAATTGATGTAAACTTTTTAGTCCAGACAATACCCAAGAACATGCTTTATATCGCCTATTGTCTATTGTGTATAAGTCTGAATTGTGTATGTCCTATTAGTGAAGTGTACCAAAGTATAAGTATTTTGGAGAATGAATTCCATTTTATTTTTATTTGTCCTTTAAATAACTAAGAGTAAAGCTCATTAAACAGTATTGAAACAGTATCGGTTTGTGCTTTGTACGACATTCTGTCCAACTTGTGCTGAATTTCAACATATTGAATGGCCCATCATCATTTATTCCTTAAAAGGGCAACAAGGACTGTAGAGGGAAAATTCAAAAGTTTTTCTCAGCTATCAGGGCTTAACATTTTCTTTGACATTCCTATTTTGTTAAAATGTATGGATAAACTGTCAATTTCAGCATTAAGAAGTGTAAATTCAGTTCAAAGCTTCTATAAAGGGAGTCCCAAATTATAGCTTTTTATGATCCACTGCCTTTCAAGAGGAATATCAGCTGATATTATGTTCATCCAGGGAGTTTCTTTTTAGATAATAAAAATATATGTTGGTCTTAATGAAGTATCCAAACTTCAATATATTTTGACACTGGTCGATGATCGTTGAATGGCCCCAATGACCTAATTGTTGCACCTTTAATTATTACACTTTATCATTACAACAAAAGCTTATTATTGTAATATTAAATGTCAAAAATAGAGTCAAAGTTTTATATAGGTACTAAATATGATATGTAAACATGTAATGTAGTCTAATGTACTATTTTTGTAAAAATAAGGGCATATATTTTGTTTGTAATTAACTAAACTACATGTATAAACTTAAAAGCGATCGCTTTATGTTACTTTTCTGTCATATCTGCATTCATAACACTTCACTCGAGCTAGTGGGACCATACAGATCTTGAGGGACTATTCTTACCATATTGCTGACATAAGAGGCTTTGACCATATAAGGGAAGGGAATACAACTTGTCCAAATACACACTACTATACCTTGCATTTGGTGTTCATGAGCAACCCATTTGGCTTATTAGTAATGATTATGTATTTGTTTTTATTTGTCTGTTCCTTATGAATGGTTTATGGTTGAAAATTAGATGCTAGTAAGGCACTTTCAAAAATATATTAAACAATTCAATTAGACAAACAAAGTATCTTATGCATTTCTAGGTGTTAGGTATAGTAGTGTGAATATTGTTTTTAATCTAAATATAAAACAACTATATTAATCAGTAGATATATCAATTTTTATCTTAATAATTCCCAGACATAATTCTAAATCAATGATGTTTCAAAATTCAATATGAAGTTTTTAAAACATGCAGTTTTCTACATCTTATTATCACTAAATCCACTTGATTCTTTCCCATCTTTTGACATCCCTTGACACCATTTCTTAATTAATGGCGATAGATTTGTCCATTACCTTTGTAGGCGTGTCACCTGTACGGACTGTACTATTGATTGGAATGCTAAACCGTTGTAGTTCTGCACAGAAGTCCTCAGGTGTATTTTCATCATAATACTTATCACTGATTTTCACCAAATCTGAAACAATTCACACTTAAACACCCTATGCAGACAGAGCCTGTGGGAAATATTGGGTGCGGAGCAAATGAGCGGAGGGTGCGGAGCTAACGGTCATTTTTGAATTTAAATTTGGGATATTTCTGAAACTAAGCCGTTTTGGGACTTCAAATATACCAAGATATGTGTATTTGACACCAAATATCAATACAATTGTGAAAATAGTAGCGCAATTCATTCTATAGCGACGCAGTGTGCCTTAAACCTTTCCCAGACTTATATATTTTGAAATTATCCTTTTAATACTGAGTCCCAAGCATTCATAAAAAATGGTGTTCAAGGTACACTATCTATACAAATTATTTTTGCATCTTGGAAGCCAGGCAGTATCTGTGTGATTTTATAAAAATTCGGAAATGTTTTTCAGATATGAGCCCCCTTTAAATATTGGGTGCGGAGCAGCTCCATAAACGTACCTCCGCACCCAATATTTAGAGGGGGCTCATATCTGAAGAACATTTCCGAATTTTTATAAAATCACACAGATACTGCCTGGCTTCCAAGATGCAAAAATAATTTGCATGGGTAGTGTATCTTGAACACCATTTTTTATGAATGCTGGGGACGCAGTATTAAAAGGATAGTCTCAAAATATATAGGTCTGGGAAATGTTTAAGGCATAATGCGTCGCTATAAAATGAATTGCACTACTATTTTCACAATTTTATTGATATTTGGTGTCAAATACACATATCTTGGTATATTTGAAGTCCCAAAACGGCTTAGTTTCAGAAATATCCCAATTTTAAATTCAAAAATGACCGTTAGCTCCGCACCCTCCGCTCATTTGCGCCGCACCCAATATTTCCCACAGGCTCTGTCTGCATAGGGTGTTAAATAATAGTTTTCTTTTCATAAAGATGACAATTGCATTTTGCTTTTACAATATAATTCACCTACATAATTGTTTGAACTACAGGGTGCCCCCAAAATATGTTACCCTTCAATTTTGTTATTATCATAAATATTACATTTAAGTTTTCATCATACAGATTACTTCATCGCTTGCAGAAATCTCTCTTTCTAAATCTCAAAATTGAAACATGTCCCACACGAGTGGTCCTGGAAATCAAGAGGGAGGGGGGTCCAAAAAAATGTTCATGCTTACAAGAAAGAAGTTTTTTGCCCAATTTTGAAATTTTGGGAGAAGCAGATTTTTGGGCCCCAATTCTTTTCAAGACTCCCCTTTTATCTCAAAGTGCACCATTATCCACCCCTGCTCTCCTCCCACACAACTTACCTTGAAGGCTATAAATAAATTCAAACAGAAGATTACGGAACATGACAATGTCCTTGACCTTGACCCCTTGCAGAAGGTTGACGATGAGGTCAATAGAGCGGGAATGCAACTTCTCACACCCCCTGGTGGCCAGAAGGCGAAGTAAACGTGATATCACCCAGGATGTCACAGCTACAAGTAAATAAATAAAAAAAGGTCAGATTTTATTTACAGTAAAAACCACAAAGCAAAACATTTCTATGATAAATTTTAGTGCTGATGTGCCTACAGTCTGATCCATAGACACACCAACACTAAAACTTAAGACACGGGTTTAAAATTTATTTTAACATTAATAATTTCAACTATGAGTTGACCATGAAATTCTGATATCTCACAAAGAACTATCTATCTCCAATCTAGTGAGAGCTCATGGCCTTTGCTAAGTTCCTTTCTAGCAAGGTAGTCTAGAGCTGATCTGAGTATCAGAATGTGACTCTTCCTACTTCATATAGGTTTTGGACGGATTGAAAGATGGCAGCACAATCAAGTGTTATAGGTAAGATAATGTTCCATTTATGGTTTGGCAAATGATTTCAGAGTCAGATTGTTCACCATGAGTACATTTGTTTTCTCAAGATAAAATTCAAATGATAATAAAATCGTCAACAATTTGACTTTCCAAAACGGAGGAGATCACCTCACAAAAGGTTCTAAAAAATCAAGCCAAATGTCCTGTTTAAAAACCGCATTACCCCATTATATATAGTACTAAAACTTCCTATCAATATTCTACTTGTTGAGACCTAATCAATTTGAGTTTTTCTGAGCTAATGGGAATTTCAGCTGTATTAACTTAACATGGGGATATACACCATTGTTCTCCATAGGATTTTATTCCAAGTAGGTGCAAAATTCTAATTTTCGCAATTTAGGCCAAATATGGTCAGAATATATCTACTTTTCATGATTAATCTCATTTTCAAATGGGTGCAAATGGATTCTCATGTGGGGGTGCATGCCACACATTATTAAAATCTCAAGTGGGTGAAGTGCCTCGAAAATATGTTTCTTTTGGGAGGTGTCTACTTATAAATGTTCATTTAACATTAAGTCAGTTGGTCTTGGGACTCTTGGAATAAATGTTCCACAAACAGAGGTGTTCCACTTCTAGAGGTGTTCTACTTTAAAGATTGTAAAGCCATATATTTCCCATGTTTCTGAATGTTACATTTTGTTCTTATATGTGATTTTAAATATGGATAATACAACTTGTCTTATTCTTTGACCCCATTCTAAAAAGATCTGCAATACTCCACACTCGCCTTCAAAGAATCATATGTGCTCAACAAAATGATAGATATTCAGGTGTTTCATTAGCAGCAGGCAACGGGCAATTTTCACTGGTTGTTTTCACAAAATCGCCTGTTGTTTAAAGGGACTTTTCCATGTTAAATTTATGATTTCCATTAATTTTGCCTGTTGTTTTCATTTATTAAAGATGCATTATGCCATAGGTTTCTCCCCCAGACAATCAACGATGTCCTATTGTTATTGCTCATACAATATCTCACATACCATGGATATGTCTTGAGAATAACTTTTGGGTATATTATTGCCGAAATATCGGAAATAATCAACACAACAACCAAACTCCAGAATTAAACACAATCAATTTCTCGGCTAGGGAGGGGAATCCTCATTGAGTCATACAAGCGCCCACAAGCACCTTGAACCAGGCAGCCAATCAGGTTTATGATAAACAAATTCAACGACCAATCAGATAACAGGAGGACTTTCCCGGTATATTCAAACTTCAGATTGAATTTAATTTCTTCGAAAATAATTAGATCAGCCAGCACAATCGCAAAATTAACACTGAAAGAGGGGGATTTGGAACATCTTCTTTGGTGAGTAGATGGGTGAATATGTGGTGAAACTCAATATGCAAAAAAGTCCAGGTAGGTCTTGATTGTGCTATCCTATGGCATAGAGCCTCTTTAAGCCTGTTGTGAGAAATTCTTGTGAAACCCCTGGATATTATATCAGGTTATATCACATTGTTTAACACAGACAGTCTAATCATTTATCATGTGCTTTATGTCAAATTATCAGTCACTAACACGTTAAGTATCAAATATCAATGTTTTCTTGACATCAAGGATTTAAAGAACACTTTATGATAACACTGTACAAGGCATAACATTTTATCTTGTTATACTTATTCTATTTATATTCTCCACAAAGGAGTGGTATCGATATGGTGAACTTTTTGAACACACGTTTCTCTTAAACCAGTCATTAAAACATTCTGAAGATTTTACACATTGTCAATTTAATGGTCTTCTTTTGGAGGGCAACATTATAATTTGAAATATATATATATACTTTTCTCTATATTGTTTTAGAAAACACATCAGACACTTCTTTCGTTCTTGGTATCATATGTTCGGAATGATATGAAACATCTATCCGAACCTCATTGGAACAGAACGACAAAAACACAACATACTTAGGTCTCTCAATATAGTAACTGTACAAAGGAAAGTTTGGTTGATTTTAAAAAGTATCTTGTTAATGTAATAAAAGGTTTAACTTAATTTTAATCTATTTTGGGGGGTTTTGTTTTAAGTTTCTGCATAACTTTTGTTAAATCAACCAAAATGTCCTTTGTACGAAAAAAAAAATTCCTTTGTATAACTATAATATTGAGAGGTCTAAGAAAATGTTGTTTATGCTATTTTGTTCCAACAAGGTTCGGAAAGACATTTTATTTCATTCTCAAGAATTGGTAGAATTAAAAAACAATTGCACTAAAAAACAAAAATATTTAAAAAAAACAGTTATATAAAATATATATAAATACCTTTTGAATTAAATTGTTGCCAATCCGTCAACATTACATAAAGGACCGTGTTTTCTTACAGAATGTTTACAATAATTGGTTTAAGAGAAAAACATTGTTGAATAGTTCACCATATCGATACCTATCCTTTTCTTTGAGTATCATTTTTGGAAATTCTATCAAATTCGAAGTACTGACTTTGTACCAGTCTATTTTATTTCTCGCTGAAAATACTCCTATCAAGTCATTTTGGGTTTGAATGTATGATCACAGAGGTTTTAACAGGTTGTTGAAATGTAATTTTCTCAGGAGTCAAAATTTGTTTTTAAACAATAGAAAATCAGGAAAATGCATATTTTTCTACGATTTCTACTGCTTAATGCATTATTGGTAAGTATTTCAATTGGATATCTTAAGATATGTGTGAGATATTTATTTCTATTTTCAGTTGGTAAATAAGTTGCAAGATTGTTACATTTTTTATATGTGTAATGATTTTATTGTTTTGTACATTAATTTGCCATTGTGTGTGATTTTTGAAGAGATTGTTCCAACATGTTATTTCTACGTCTCCTAGCTTAAATAAAACAATTATAACTAGACTTTGGAAATTGAATAAAGTTCAATTTCAGACTCCAGATTGAGACCATTTTTAGCCGAGTCATCCAGAATAAGCTGAGTCATCCAGAAAAAGATGGATGAATAAAATAGGAAGGTAGGATAGGATAGAATAGGAAGGAACGATAGGATAGAACAGAATAGGAAGAAAGGATATGATAGGAGAGGATAGGAAGGAAAGATACGAAGGACGCATAGATAGGAAGGATAGGATAGGATAAGATCAGATAGAAAGGATGGATAAATTTTTCAAAATTTTCGACTTCTCTACTCTTGACTTTCTATCAGGATACCATCAGATCGATTTTCCAAAATTGAGCTTTCAAAACGCCATAACTTTCGAACCAGAAGTCGGAAAATTCTACCCTTAATTCATAACTCACACGTTAAATTTGGAGAAATTTTTATTTTGACCTACTTTTAGGACACCATATCTCAAAAGTGGGTCGAAATATTTTCTGACGGCAAAGGCTAACACTATAAGCACACTCTTTCCTACCTGTATACAAAATTTTGAAGCAAATCATTTAAACATAGTGTCAGAATTGGAAAAAATAAGGAAAAACTATGAATTTGACCTAGATTTTGACCTAGGGATTTTGGTGTCCAAATTTTGAAGTTAAGTAGCCTTCGAGGTCCCCTTCTTTCATAAGCTTTCATTATTTTAAGCTGTACTTAGTCTATATCTCGTATTTTACACTTCAAAAAAATCTTTTTTCCTATTGACATAACATGGGGCACCAAATTTAGCGATTTTTGAGCTTTAAATATGTCATAACTTCCGAACCGGAAGTCCGATCGAAATTTGATTTGCAGATTCGGATTCCTGAGAAAATTCTATACTTAATTCATAACTCAAACGTTAAATTTGGAGAATTTTTTATTTTGACCTACTTTTCTGACACCATATCTCAAAAGTGGGGCAAAATACTTTCTGACGGCAAAAGGCTAACACTATTAGCACACTCTTGGCTACATGTATACAAAATTTCGAAGAATATAATTAATCTGTAGTGTCAGAATCGCAAAAATAAGGAAAAACTTTGAATTTGACCTAGATTTTGACCTAGGCATTTGTGTCCAAATTTTAAAGCTAGATGGCTTTTGAGGTCCCATTCTTTTAAAAGCTTTCATTATATTTAGCTGAACTCTTTCCCATTGACTTAACATGGGCTCCAAATTAAGCGATTTTTGAGCTTTCAAAACGCCATAACTTCAGAACCGGAAGTCTGATCCATATTTTGTTTTCAGATTCGGAATTCTGAGGAAATTTCCTATAAGACTGATATCCTGGACATTTGATTCGGAGAACTTTTTTTGGACCTCGTTTTTGGACACTGATATCTCGAAATCGGTTAGAGATATCAAAAAACTAAATGACGCTAGCTTTCCTTCTTTTTTATAAGGAACACAATGAAAAAAACCGGATCGAAAATATTTAAGGACGACCGAGAAAATCGAAAAAAAGTGACAAAGTACTGGATTTGACTTAGTTCCTGACCTTTGACCTAGATAAAAATTTGACCCAATTTCCTACCAACTAGATACTGAACCTAAATATACTGTATTATAGTCTTTACTGGATTCCTTATAGTTATTGAAAAAACTCTTAAAGAAAAATAAGAAAAATAAGAATAAGAAGAAGAAGAATGAGAATACTGGCAAAAACAATAGACTCCAGATTGACATCTGGAGTCTAATAAGAATACTGGCAAAAACAATAGACTCCAGATTGACATCTCTGGAGTCTAATAATGCAAATTTTGAGTACAGTCGGATATGAAATATACAATTATTGAAAGAATGATAATTCTATTTTTGTTTGCAAGGTACTAAGTAACCAAACAACAAATGCATTGCATAAAAAAAAGTGAACAAAGTTAGAAATTATTACAGACGGATTAACAATAATAATCTACAAAATGTTAATAATGCTTTTACAGGGTTCGTACACCTTTTTCAAAATGAATTTCCCTGACAATTCCCTGACATTTCCAGGCAAAAAAGGAAATTTCCAGATCTAATTTTCCTCGCGCGCCCTCTAAAAAGTCTCAAACAACTGTATTATTCAAGACAAAAAGACTTATTATGAAACATTTGGGGTTTCTCCTTCAGTACCACTTCTCATGACTTAACTACTTGTACAGGCAGTCTTATTCACCAATTTATTCCTGATAAATTTTATTTTTTAATATTACATATTTTACATTGCATTAGGCCAAAGGTAAACATACATGTACAGGGGCATAGTCAACAAGTATCAAGGAGGTGCATCATTTGGGGTTTGCATCACTGCGAGCGAAGGAAAACCAGAAGGGGGGGGGGGGGGGTACGGGGGTTCATCCCCGGAAATTTTTTCAAAATTGACAATTGTATATGGTGCATTCTAAGCATTTCAAACTATAATTTGTTAATGTTTTCTAATGAATCCAAATGACAACTGAAACTTTAAAATTTTGATCTAAATCCTACTAGAAAAATAGCAACTCACTTGAGGGGCAATTCCCACCTAATGAAACATATTTCTATTGAATACTATCATTGTGAACATTATATGATAGCAATAACCTGGCATTACTATTGTCTTCTCCCTTTTGGGAAAATTACACCAAAACAATTGACACCATATTAGAAATTCCTTCTCAAGTAGCATCACCAGATCACGAAAAGGCTCAGGCCTATGATACCAAATCAAATAATCAGTATTTTGTGTTATCAGGAATCAAATTTCTTTAAATTATCAAAAATTTCATAAAAAAATGGTGGCAATTTTGAATTCAGAGACCATCTTGAATATTTCTTCTTGAGCAAGTCCTTTGTCCCTAAGGCTACATCATACAAAATTTGAGCCAAAGTAAAATGCTGGGTTCATCTTTACAAGAAGAAAAATTTGGACCAAATTCAAAAACTGTTAATAGTACCCCACACACATTTTGGTTGCCTACTTCCATGTGCTAAGGTTTTCAAAATTGGCAAAGCCCCTGAAAGTTGAAAAGACTGACGTACGATCGGACTGTCGAACAGACAGCTTCTTAATATAATAAATACAATTTTACATTGTAAAGAGCTCCCAGATTTTTTTTTGTTTTTCACCTCCCGCCACCCCCCTCAGATTAACCCCTCATCAAACCATGAAATATATACCAGTAATTAACTAAGGCTAAGCTTACTACATAATAAAAAAGCATAATTGTATTAAATCATCTATACATTATTTTTATTGTTCGGTTTCAGTGTAATGTTCACACTGTTCTTACAAATAGACAATACCAGATCTAATGTCATTCAACCAACCCTAATGAAAAGATTTGCAATTTGTGGAAACAACTAGATGATTTTGGATTTCACTTATATCCTGTCATAGCCCTAAAATGTATTTTGCTGGAACATTATTCTTTCAACATTGATACAAAATTCCCTGACATTTCCCTGACACATCTACTGTTTCAAAATTCCCTGACATTTTTGGCTCTTTTTGACCCAATTTTAAAATTCCCTGACATTTCCAGCACCTGGAAAAATAAATAAATTTCCCTGACATTTCCAGGTGTGTACGAACCCTGTTTTAGTACAGAATAATGTGCTGACATGTTATGGATTCTACTGATATAATAAAATGTAATCTGAATGTTATTGACTTGCTCTAAAATTATCTGGAATTATCGAATTAATAAGATCTTATAAGACAAGTTATGGATTCCACTGATATAATTGATATGTAATCTTGATGTCATTGACTTGCTATATTGATTCTAAAATTATCTGAAATTATTGGAATTATCCAATTAATAAGATCTTATGAGGCAAAGCTATACCAAATCCTGTTGAGAAAAAATCTATTTTTCATTTTAACCAAGCATGATAAAAATAATGAAATAAATACTATTTTTAAGGTAAGGACTGATGCGGATGATAGTCAAGATGTTGAGATTGGCTTTGACATGCCTGATGCACACTATGAAGACAAAGAGAGTATGTCCCAAATCATCCCAGAGTGTGAAAAGCACTTCTATGGACCATCCTGTGATATCTACTGCAACCCTGTTGATGATGAGCTTGGTCACTACCTATGTAATCCCATCAATGGAGAGAAGGTATGTCGAAATGGCTTCGCTGAACCAAAAACGGACTGTACTGTCAAGGTACCAATTAAACAAAACTGTCCTATAAGTGGTGATTGTATTAATGGAACATGTGTGAACCAACGATGTGTGTGCAACCCGGGCTGGACTGGAATGTATTGCGAAGAAATCATTGTTGGTTGTTCAAGTGGTAATCCTTGTCTAAATGGTGGAGTATGCCGGAACACAAATACTGGCAACAGATACCAATGCTTTTGTCAACCCGACTGGACCGGTACAAACTGTGAGACACCCATCAACAGATGTCCTCTAAACTATTATGGCCCAAGCTGTGAGGTATTTTGCCTCGCCGCAGATGATTGTGATGGAGGGCATTATACATGTGATCCAAACACTGGGGCGAAGGTTTGTCTTCCTGGCTATGCAGTTCCTGAAAATGATTGTAAACTCAAAACAATTCCCAAACCATCTGATCCAGATTGCCCAATTGACTCTCCTTGTGTTTATGGAAGATGCTACAGACGAGCGTGTTGCTGTAATGAACATTACTCTGGTGTAAGATGTGAAACATTTATAGACTATTGCGTAAGCCAACCTTGCCAAAATGGTGGAACATGTAACCCGTTGGTAGGTGGGAACACATGTACTTGCTTGAGGGACTACACTGGTACTCATTGCGAAACCTATGATCCCCAATGCCCTCCAAATTACTACAACCCTCCTGCTTGTAATGTGTACTGTCTTGCTGCGGATGATTGTGAAAGAGGGCATTATACATGTGATCCCAACACAGGAGCGAAAGTTTGCCTACCTAGGTATGCTATGCCTGAAAACGATTGTAAAATCAAAACTCTTCCACCTCCATCGGATCCAGATTGTCCAACTGACTCTTTTTGTGTTTATGGAAGGTGCTACAGACAGTCTTGTTGCTGTAATGAACATTACACTGGTGTAAGATGTGAAACATTTATTGACTATTGCATAAGCCAACCTTGTCAAAATGAAGGCACATGTAATCCAATGGTAGGTGGGTACACATGCATCTGCTTGAGGGACTACACTGGTACTCATTGCGAAACATATGATCCGCAATGTCCTCCAAATTATTACAATCCACCTGCTTGCAATGTGTACTGTCTTGCTGCGGATGATTGTGATAGAGGGCATTATACTTGTGATCCAAACACTGGGGTGAAGGTTTGTCTTCCTGGATATGCAATGCCTGAAAATGATTGTAAACTCAAAACAATTCCCCCACCATCTGATCCAGATTGCCCAACTGACTCTCCATGCGTCTATGGCAGATGCTACAGACAGTCTTGTTGCTGTAATGATCATTACACTGGTGTAAGATGTGAAACATTTATTGACTATTGCTTAAGCCAACCTTGTCAAAATGAAGGCACATGTAATCCAATGGTAGGTGGGTACACATGCATCTGCTTGAGGGACTACACTGGTACTCATTGTGAAACATATGATCCCCAATGCCCTCCAAATTACTACAACCCACCTGCTTGTGATGTGTACTGTCTTGCCGCGGATGATTGTGATAGAGGGCATTATACATGTGATCCAAACACAGGAGCAAAGGTTTGTCTTCCTGGATATGCAGTTCCTGAAAATGACTGCAAAGTAAAAACACTCCCTCCATCAAATGATCCAGATTGCCCAATTGACTCTCCGTGTCTTTATGGAAGATGCTACAGACGGGCATGTTGCTGTAATGAACATTACACAGGAGTTAGATGTGAAACTTTTATAGATTATTGTGTCAGCCAACCTTGTTTGAATGGAGGCACATGTAATCCAATGGTAGGTGGTTACACATGCATCTGCTTGAGGGACTACACTGGAACTCATTGCGAAACCTATGATCCACAATGTCCTCCAAATTACTACAACCCACCAACTTGCAATGTGTTCTGTCTTGCTGCGGATGATTGTGATAGAGGGCACTATACTTGTGATCCTAACACAGGGGCCAAGGTTTGTCTTCCTGGATATGCAGTTCCTGAAAATGATTGTAAACTCAAAACAGTTCCCCCACCATCTGATCCAGATTGCCCAACTGACTCTCCATGTCTTTATGGAAGATGCTACAGACGAGCGTGTTGCTGTAATGCACATTACACAGGAGATAGATGTGAAACTTTTATAGATTATTGTGTCAGTAATCCATGCCAAAATGGTGGAACGTGCAATGCCACTGTTGGAGGGTTTACATGTACATGTCCAAAAGACTACACAGGGAGATGGTGTGAAACATATGATCTGCAATGTCCTCCAAATTACTATAACCCACCAGATTGCAATGTATACTGCCTTGCCGCAGATGATTGTGATAGAGGTCATTATACTTGTGATCCTAACACAGGGGCCAAGGTTTGTCTACCTGGATATGCAATGCCTGAATATGACTGCAAAATAAAAACGATTCCCCCACCAACTGATCCAGATTGCCCAACTGACTCTCCATGTGTTTATGGAAGATGCTACAGACGGGCATGCTGCTGTGATGAACAATACACGGGTGTTAGATGCGAGACCTTTATAGACAATTGCGTAAGTGAACCTTGTTTAAATGGAGGCACATGTAATCCAATTGTAGGTGGGTACACATGCACTTGCTTGATAGACTATTCTGGTACTCATTGCGAAACACATGATCCACAATGTCCTCCAAATTACTACAATCCACCTGCTTGCAATGTGTACTGTCTTGCTGCGGATGATTGTGATAGAGGGCATTATACTTGTGATCCCAACACTGGTGCAAAGGTATGCAGATATGGTTGGGATCTACCAGAACTGAACTGTACACTCAGAATTATCCCAAAGCCAGTTGATGAAGAATGCCCAGACTCTGAGATAACTTGTGTAGCAGGTCAGTGTCATAATAAATCTTGCTGTTGCTATGACAACTGGACAGGACCCCATTGTGACATACCAGTAGACCACTGTTCAAATAACCCTTGTTATAATGGATCAACATGCGAAAGAGAGACAGATCGATACAGATGCATTTGTGCAAAAGATATGTATGGGTATAACTGTGACACATACTGTAAACCAGCTGATGATTGCCCAACTGGCCACTACACATGTGACAGTAAATCAGGAGAAAAGATATGTCTTGAAGGTTGGGAGACTCCGGAAATCAACTGCACACTTAGAATCATCCCTCCTCCTTTAGATTCTGAATGCCCTGATGAAGGATTCTGTGCCGCTGGTCAATGCCACAACAAAAGCTGTTGTTGTCATGACAAATGGACAGGAATGCTTTGCGAAACAAGAATTGATGAATGCCTCAGCGAACCATGCCAGAATGAGGGTACATGTCAAGCAGATGAGTCAAAGTACGAATGTCTTTGCGCTCCAAATTACTATGGCTACAACTGTGAAACACTGTGTAAAGATGCAGATGACTGCATCTATGGGCACTATGTGTGTAACAGAACAACGGGCGAAAAGATATGTCTTGAAGGTTGGGCTTTGCCAGAGATAAACTGCACACTAAGGACAATTCCACCTATTGTAGATCCTGATTGCCCAGATAATGGTGTTTGCGTATCAGGGCAATGCCATAACAATGGTTGCTGTTGTAACGATCAATGGACTGGCGAGTTTTGTGATGTCATAGTAGACGCCTGTGCAAGTAACCCATGCCTGAATCAGGCCACCTGTAACCCAACAGATGGGGGTTACACATGTCTTTGTGATTTTCGATATACAGGAACTCACTGTGAGACTTTCATTCCAAAGTGATTATTTTCACAACCTCCAAGTTAATCGTGCTTTAACTGTAATATAGCCATTGTGCTAGCAAAAAACTAGACTTATATCAAATTTCATTGTAAAATGTAACAAATTCATTGTGTTATAACAAATGCTTTCATTGAATATAATCTTTTTAACTGTAATTTAGACATTGCACTCGTATAAACTGCTTTCATCAAATAAATATACATGTATTATAATAATTATTTTAAAATATAATATAGACATTGTGTTAAATTAAACTGTTTGTATGAACTATAAATTTTAAACTGTAATGTACGTTAAGCTGGGCTAGTATAAAATGTTTTCATGGACTATCATATTTTTGTAAACTAAAATATAGTCATTGCAACAGAAAACATGCTTTCATGGACTATCAAATTATAAACATTTACTGTAGACACTGTCCTAGTATAGACTGTTGTCATGGACTATCAAATCATTTAACTGTGCAACTGCCTAGTGTAAACTGTTTTCATGGACTATCATACTTTTGTAAACTGAAATGTAGAAACTGCACTAGAAAAACCTACTTCCATGGACTTTCACATTATTAATTGTATCATAGACAGTTATAAACTAATCTAGCAATTTAATTATTCCAAATTTGACTATCACATTTGTAAACTGAAATGTAGAAATTACCCTAAAGTAATCTGCTTTTTGTGTATCAGCACTTTTGGTGGTGACATAATAAATATATATTAATTCAATAATTTCAGCTTACCAAAACCAATGTCTACATCAGTCTGAGGGGATACATTGATTTCTTTGGTTGCATGATCTTTTGCAAGTTCCGGCATTTTGACAAATATCTCTGGCCGTGATGTCATACATTGTTCAATGAACTGGAAACTGATTTCACATTGTGATTGGTTGGATTTAGCCAAATCTTGTGACACTGAAAAAGATGAATGTTAAATGCATCGTTAACAAATTATGAAATCAAATTTCTGACTTTTTTCCCCAAACACTTGAAAGATTCCATACAAAAAAATATTGAGGCTAAAATTTACTTCTCATTATTTAATACTGAACAATATTTATAGAAAAAGTTTATTTTTAGATTTTAGATTTTGTCACATGACAGCTATTATATCTAACCATACAAACAAAACATATGAAAGAAAATAATATTTTATTTTAATTACCTTTATCCAGATTAGTCAGAAATCTGTTAATGAGTTGACATAGGACTTTTCTATACTTGGACACATGTTCAGATGTGATGGTCCCCTCATGACTGGAATGAAACAATAATGATGAAATTGGATTTGGAATAACTTCATAAATCTGTTAATGAGTTGACATAGGACTTTTCTATACTTGGACACATGTTCAGGTGTGATGGTCCCCTCATGACTGGAATAAAACAATAATGATGAAATTGGATTTGTAATAACTTCTCAAATCTGTTAATAAGGTGAAGATCACTTTTCTGACTTCAAGACATGTTCAGATGATGGTCTGAAATATAATGATGACAAAACTATAAATCAAATTACTGATATGTATATGAACCAATCGTTTTTTTTACCTATAAGTAAATAGATCAAATACACTAGTCTAATATAGAATAGTAACTTTAATCAATAATCTCATATTACTTGGAAAGTCATCTTGATTCAAGGAATCACTAATATATTTCAAAACAATACTTAGAAACTTGGGATTAAGAGGTTTAATAAACAAAGAACCTACAAATCATAATATTTGTCTATAATCACCTAGGAATAAAATATTACTAAAAGTTCTAGTTCAAAATCTTATATAGAATAAAAAATAAACAGAAATATATAAAGTAAACATAATATCACATAATCAACACTTTTGATAGCATAAGATGTCTAGAATCATACACAAATCAACATAAAATTGTTGATAAAAATAGAGTACGATGAGCATGAGCGAGCAGCAAATTTTAACAAATTTATTCATCCTTTTTCTAATATGATTTATATCCCATGCTTAATCCACTAAATCCTTACATTTCACTGATTAATTCTGAAAAGCAAGGCCGTTGTTATTATGATGTTAAATAATATTTGAGAAAATAAATGATATATCATTGCATGTTAAACTCAAGCTTTTCTAAGAATAATCGAATAATTTGACTTCAGAATGGCGAAGGATGTCATGATAATGCTGAAAATCTGAGCAATGATTTGACGAGTGATCAGCTTAAGTAATTTTGTGATATCACACTTTTGAGGAATGAGTTTTTTGTAATGCAAATTACTAGCCAAAGAAATTATGCTTGTATAAAAATAATATCCGCATCTTGTACACAAAAACTGAATTAAAAAAAGGTGACCGACCTTTCAGAACTTTCCTAATAATTAGGAATACAGTAACTTTGTTGGTATCAATAGTGTCCAATAAAATCCATAGAATATGGTATTAAAATTTTTTCTGAGTTCTTGATAATCAAAACAAGTTCATTATGCATCCCTATTTATCGATACAATTCATAACAACACTGCAAACATCTCCTTCACACGAGCCTTCATTTTTTAAAAATGATCTCTTGTTTGAAGCTTCTAGCTCAATTTTGAAGGAACTAAAATTAAAGATACATCTTATTTTTTGGCATGTTTTGGCACATTTCTGACTGAAATCCGAAAAAAAATTGGCGGTTACACCCCCCCCCCCCTCACTAAAAGCTGGCTTTGCCCCTGTGTTATATTCTACTTTTAGATATCCAATCAATGTGACTGAAAAAGAGATGAATTTAAAAGTTCTAAGATTCCAAGGTATGTAAATGGTATACCTTGGTAATTCAAGGTGAGGAATAAATGGGATATCCAAAATGTGACAACCTCAGCTCACAGGGCTTCAAAATCCAGAATATGCTCTTTCTTTTTACCCCCTGCGATAAGCAGTTAGCATTTCCCCGATTAAGAACTTGCAATCTGATTGGTCGTCTCAACACTGCGACAGAAATCATGTATAAGTCATTGTGCATAATACGATCACGTGATTCAGTTTAATCAGGTGCTTCCAAATTGGTTATAGCAGGGGGGGAAGAAGGAGGTATGGATTCTGGAAACCTGCTTAGGAGGTTGAAAATGTGACTTTAGAACATATCCTAGGTTCACATTCCAGGGATCTGATTTAAAGGGAGTCTTAAAGAGATAAATCCAAAGAGCACAGTGGATTGATTGGTACAGCCTACTAAGTACCTTTATGTTTGTCTAGTCAATCATGAATTTTTTACCCTGGAACTCTAATATCTTGAAAATTATTTCTTTGAAGAACTATGATATTTTGGAAATTCTTAACAATTTAAGAGTCTGTGTTTCTTTCACATACACATATATATTTCTACAATCAATGTTTTACTCTTTCCCATGCTGTTTTGTCTTTCAAAGCAATAGAGTAGAAATTAGATTAACTTTATCTCATAGGAAACATATCAAAACAATTTTGGGTAAACTTAAAGTAAACAGGACATGTGATGAAATGGAAGATGATAAAAGTTTATACTTAAAGGGAGAATCAGATCTAGCGAGCTAGCAACCTTAACAAAAACTGTTTCAATTTTAGAATATTTCTGGCTCATATCATTCTTTGTCATTTCTATTTTCTAAAAATCCAAGTGCATAATTTCAGGAAAACATACAATTTCTACAATAATGGATCATTTTCTTATAAATATGGTTACCATATTTATTATTTGGGGGAATATTAAAGTCCCCTTTTTGCACTTTAAATCTAAAATATCTTCACCAACATATTGCGGATCTTTTGGAAGATATCACATGTGAGATTGTGGATTGTATATGTTGCTTGCAATTTTATCACCCCTTATAGATCTGATTCTGCCTTTAAATTCTTTTCTACAACTTGAATAAATTGATCAAAATGGCTTTCTGGACATTCTCTATAAAGCTCATGATTGATTGGAAGGCAATTTGAGAACATGTATTTCTACTTTATTTTGCTAACAGGATGTAAACAGACTGATTGGTGAAATACAGGATGATAAAACTTGATACAGACTGCTATAAGTTTTTGGAATCAGCAGGTATCTGATGAAAAGTGAATATAAATCTGATAGACACATTCTGACTTTTCAGGCCAACCTCTGAAGCTCAAACCAACTTTATTCAAACTTCTTATCTTGAACTATAGTCATTTTACCTCTACTCAATTCTCTCATCTTGCTTTCTAAAGTTTTAGTTGCTATTAAACCTCTTTTGGAGATGCCATTCTCTTTTATATTCATAACCAGAACAACGGCAACGCCAAAGCGTAGCGAATCCCATCAAACAGAAATGGCTGGCATTTTTACAAACGAAATATGTAGCAAATATCATAAAATAAACACACATAAGAAAGGCCACCATTTTCAAAATGGTTGCTCACAAGCCAAGATGTCATCAGAAGATGTAATTTGCTTTATCTTTATAGTATTCACATACCAAATATGAACAAAATCGCTCCACTACTTTTCGAGTTACAGCAAAAATCGTAAAATAATGAGTAAAGGCAGAGTAAAATACATTAAAATGGATGGCCACCTTCTACCAAAAGTGTCATTAGACAGTGTGCCACGCTTATGTCATTCACATACCAAATATGAACAAAATCGCTCCACTACTTTTCGCGTTATAGTAAAATACGTTAAAATGGTGGCCATTTTGAAAAATGGTGGCCATTTTGAAAAATGGCCGCCTTCTACCAAAAGTATCATTAGACAGTGTGCCATGCTTATAGTATTCACAAACCAAATATGAACAAAATCGCTCCACTACTTTTCGAGTAATAGTAAAATATGTTAAAATGGCGGCCATTTTTCAAAATGACCGCCTCCTACCAAAAGTGTCATTAGACAGTGAGCCATGCTTATAGTATTCAAATACCAAATATGAACAAAATCGCACCACTACTTCTCGAGTTACAGCAAAAATCGTAAAATAACGAGTAAAGGCTGCCACTTTTCAAGATGGCTGCCATGTGCTTCTTTAATATCTATATTTCTAGCTTTATCAATGTCCTATATAATTTTTCTACATTTAAAACATATTGCTATTACAGTTTTACATATTGCACCTAAATTACTGTAAAATAGGCACTAAAATGGCCGCCATTTTTAAATGAGCAGCCATTTTGAAAATCGGCTTTCGAGCAGAACTTCTACCCTCATAGGGTATATGTGTACAAAATATGAACAAAATCGGGCCAATGTTATTTGAGTTATTGCCCGGACGGACGGACGGAGGCGTTCCATATATCCCTCCGAACTTCGTTCGATGGGATAATTAGGAAATATAGTGAAGGTGAGGGGGCGTGATGGGGTGGGGTTAAAAGACTGAAGTACTTTGAAATCCTGTTCTACGAGTTTAGAAGTAAAAAAAGACTATGCAGATCGAGTTAAGAAGAACTTTCTCAAAAGTATTAACCAATTTTTTAACTGAAGTTAAATATTTGAAAGGTAATTTGAGTTATATTCCATGTAATTTAATGAAGCTACCTATATAAAAGGCCCCATATAAAGTTTAATAACAAATAAATGAAAAAAGCATATTTTCTTTACATGGGGCCTTTAAAAAGCAAATGATGTGAATTTACACTCATCACATCTTTCTGCCTTAAAACTAGCAATATAGATAGGAACTAAAAGAAGGCAAGCTCTTTATTAACTACCCTTTGCATTCGTTTGACTTCACTTCTTAGAGAGCTTCGTCTTCACTCTTTCAAACTAAAATAAACCTGTGAACTCACCGCGCCAATTAGTGTTCGTCGGCCAAATTTGACCGACGTTCTATATATGGTTATTCCTTCTGACGTCATCGTTGAGCCCGAAATTGACCAATGACATGCGCATATTTAATTAGAACACATTTGGCGTATGTTTCTTCAAGCTCGCCCATTGGTGGAAGAAAGGTCAGCGCGTAAGTCAAAAGTGATTTATTACCCAAACTGTCACCGGCACCCGTCGTGGGGGCGGGGCCACTAAACTGTAATATGGTCTCTACTAGGCAGAGTGTAGTTTAACTAGACTCTGCACGCAGGGTATTTATTAACCGAACTCTAGCATCTAATCATTTTTCTATTATTGGGCAGTAAATGTCTAATTTTAATCCAAAGCTGTAATTTTAACAAAGATTGCACCATTGATTGCCGCAATCACTAGAACAAAAGCCCTATAAATATGGATCATTAGTGCATGTTGTTGCATCAAAAATAACAGGAAATTATCTGATAAATCTTTCCGATTCAGGAAATAGAGCAATAATCTTATCTATTGCCTTTACAAATAATATCACATTGTCTTTGTTCAGTATGGATTTATTTACATCTCGTCTCTGGGCAACGGAATGAATATTTAAGAAATATAGACCGAAGATCAGGTGTTATATTGATGAATAAACCCTGCAGGTCAAGGCACAAATGCTTTCTTCGGAGCTTTTGTGCTGAGCCCAAAGGGGTTTATTCGTTGATATAACACTTGCTCTGAGGTCTATATTACGATTCAAATATGAAAACATTATGGTCAGTCATTACTACACTCCGACGTTATGATGGCACACATTACTCATATTACCCAAGGTATTGTTGACGAATACACCCCAGGAGAAATGTTGACTTTGTTCACAGTTTATAGAAGACATGAATACAGTCATGTTTGAATTAAGTAATATTTTATAAAAATATATCATTTAATGTTAAATAAAGGGTTTGTTCATCTTCACAACTTGGTCTTCACTACATTTTGATTGATCACCTATGAGACAATTATGAATGTAACTTAAATTTTTTACAATAATGTTGTCATTAGACAGAAATATTTTTGAGTAATTTCAAATATAGTAAATATTTGGATTTAGTAAACAGATAATAGTTCTCAAAATCAAAATGCTTATTCCACTCTAAATCTTTTTCTCAAAATTTGAAAGAACTGTCCAATTGTTTACATTTTTCTAAAGGGATAACTCTATTTCTAATATTTCTCTTTTTCACTTTCAGTTCCAAACCATGGCTATCTTTGCATTAAAAAGATAGTTTAAAGCTTCATTAAAGATTTCAGCTTAAATCTGATGTTTATTTTTTATTTATTTTGTACTAACATGGTATGGTATTCCTCTATAAACTACCTACTGATATTAGCCATTACACATTCCAAATTTAATGAATTCTAGATTTCAATCAAAAAATTATTGATCATTCTTTATAATGTAAGAGTTGGCAATGATGGCAACTTTCAAGGCTCCCAGGAATTTGTATTTTAGTGGTTGTCGCAAATAACCAAGATGCCAGTAGACAGTTACCACTTTCACCACTAGGTGGCTTAGTGGGGTCAGATAACATGGCAGATTAGTTGTACTTTGTAAGTTAACTAGCCCAAGGATAGGGATGGAAAATTTGATCTTAGGGAGATGCCTTTATACTCCCAACCTACAAATGAAATCTTTAACCCAAATTAAAAGGACAAAGAACACACAATATATCTTTTTAAAGAGAATTTCTAGAATACAAAATCTTATTAACAAACTGAAAATCCTTATTCATAACAATCATGTTTAACAAAAGAAATCATTTAGATACCAACCGCAAAATATATTTTCCCAAAAACAAAACATTTTTAAGTGTGGATACAAATATGCATAGATGTTTATAAACTACTAAACCCAAACTATTTTCTATATCATTTAAACATGATAATTATTTTCTGAGAAAGTTTCACCCACCCCCCCTCCCCAAATCCAAATGGTTGACCCTCTATATTTCACTTGCTGTTTTGGCATAACTTCAGTATAGGCAGAATCAGAACAGAAGAATATTGATGTATTAAGCTCATAGTGCAAACACAGACAATCATATCAATTATGGATTATCATAATTAGGTTTGATGCTGTATAATAGTGTCATTCATCATTCCAGAATGCCAGTCTTAATAAAATGACACAACAGTGATGTTCAAAAAGACAAAATAGAGTGAAAGAGAGAGAGGAATTAGCAAGGCAAATATAAACAAACATGTAATTAACAGTCTAAGTTGTATATAAATGGAAGAAAATTAGTCACTTATTTCATTCAAATTCTAAGGAGGAATGAGAGGTATTAGCAAGGAATAAAGTAAACAGGCATGTAGTCAACATTCTAAATTGTATATAGAAATGCAAGAAAATCAGACATTTTATTCAAATTCTAAAGAGGAATGAGAGGAATTAGCATTCAAGGAATAAAGTAGACAGACATGTAGTAAACACTCTAAAGTATAGAGAAATGCAAGAAAATCTGATACTTTATTCAAATTTTAAGGAGAATTCAAGATGAATAAACATGAGCAGACAGATATTTTTTATGGACTTGTGATTACATTGATAAACAGCAAGCCTCAAATTTATGATGCCTGAAAAAAATTCTCCATATTCTAACAAGATTCAGCACTTTAAATAATGTTTCCTATCAATTACAATGATTATAGTGATTACCAGGAAGAAATGTTGAAGATGTAATAAATAACAGCGATAAAAAGTAAGTCAACTTGCAAGACTTTAATAAAACTATACAACAAAGGGTTTTTGTTGTTGATAAATCATGGATACTGAAACAAATAAGTGATGACAGAATAGGAGGAAATTAATATTATGGAAATATGTGCTTAGTGAAGGTAATGTTGTAAAAGCATTTTTGTACCCAAGTGCATTCATCATAATTTGCTTGTATAGATTTGTTAATGAACAATGAACTTTAATGAACAGGGCGACACAATTTAATAGGAAACCTCTTCAGATGGAATTTTGGATTCGTACTGACTAGGAATAACAAAACTAAAACAAAGCTACAAATATTTATATTCACCAATATTTTACTTTTCCCATTCCAAAAATAATAATTACCGTTCAAAAAATATGGTGTTAATGATGGATATTGAAAATGTGACATCAGTTTTGAACAGGACATTCCATTATCCATTACAGGCAAAAATATGGGGAGCATCAATATCTATATTTGTTGCGATATTTGGAACATTCGGGAATGTGATAGCGATAATGGCAATTGTCAAGTTTCCAAAGTTACGGACAAAGCCGAACTTGATGGTTCTCCATCTGAGCTTAACTGACTTAATCCTGTCTGTCATTTGTATGCCAATTATGGCGGCGAATGATTTAATAGACGATGGAATCTTCAAAGACAGCGAAAGTACATATTGTCAATATTACATGCCATTTCAGTTCTCGATGCAAGGGACAAACATGTGTTCATTAGTTATTATGACGATTAATCGCTATATGAAAATTGTTTGGACAAATCATTATCCAAGAATGTTTACCAACTATACTGTAATAACACTTATTGTAACAGCCTGGCTATTCCCACTGATATGCCTCCTCCCTGCAACTATCAAAATTTGGGGAAAATTTGGATTTGTGGAAAGGAAGAATATATGTACTATATTAAGCGGAGATGGATATACAACATTCTTATTTCTGGTGAGCTTTGTCATTCCGTTTATATCTCTGATCGTTTGCTATACACATATTTTCATCACTGTACATCGACAACAGAACGTCATCAAATCACATCGAAAGCACTCAACAACACCAAGACGGGTTTCACGAATTAGCCAGTGTATTCCAAACAACTTATGCACCATGGAACTTCAACTTACGAAAATGATGCTCGTAATATTCCTAGAATACACGATTTTGAATCTCCCGATAACATTAATAACGATTCTCGATAAAAATGTCACATATCCAGTGTTGAATCGTATCGCTGCTGGGTTAAGTTGGATGAACGCAAGTTTCAATTTCGTAGTTTATGCGATTATGAATTCTCAATTCAGGCAGGCATATGGAGAACTTTTTGGAATATCAAGTGCGACGACAAATTCCATTCCAGGTTCAAGAACAGATAACACAAATCGAAGACAATCATAGTGATGTTTACCATGACGATGATGTAAAATAGAATGCATTAAATGCATCTATTGTATTGAAATTACAAGCTTCACTTTTAAAAATGGCAGAAGACTAGTTATACAGTTAAACCTGTCGAAGCGGAACAGCTTTGGTATCTCTAAAAAGTGTTCCACTTGGGACATGTTCCACTTATAGAGGTTCATTTAACATTAAATCAGTTTGTCTTGGGACTCTGAAAAGTGTTCCACTTGGGAGATGTTCCACTTCGAGAGGTTCATTTAACATGAAGTAAATTGGCCTCAAGACTGTTATGTTCCACTTCTAGAGGTTTTCTACTTTACATGCTTCACTGTAATTTGAATTCCGCTAAATAATGAAATCAATCTTCCTTGGATTATTTTAAATTTATAAATCAATAATAATTGAGTTCTACAACTTGTTAATGTGATTTCCCGAGCTAACTACAAAATAACCAGTTTTGGCCAAAATATTGCAATATTTCATCATAATTTGACAAGGTGGCATGTAATATTCATTCAAATTTTTATCAGGGTTTGGCACCTTGTTATTCTGATGCTGGAGACAGCATGATACTCATAACATCTTTCTGCTTCACCTGAACCATCTCAAAACAGGCTAAATAAATGAAAACAACAGGCAAAATTAATGGAAATCATGAATTTAACATGGAAAAGTTGAAAAGTTCCTAAAACAACAGGCTATTTTATGAAAACAACCAGTGAAAATTGCCTGTTACCTGCTGCTTATGAAACCCCTGCACGACCAGGGAAGATGAACAGTTTTTACTAGGATATCATGACATCTCTACCAGCTGGCACACAATGCCATCCTGACAAACAGTACAGTAGATAAACTGGGACTGCCACAACTTGAGCATGCCACATATTCCCCCATAAGAGTCCCAGGCAACTTTTAGTTACAAAGTGAAGTTAAGTAAAGGCTAAGTGGAATCAGTTTTCAAACTTCAGATGATCTAAGAAAAGATGTGGGAGAATTCCCAAAAAAATGAGTTATCATGGATTTTGAAATCTGTTTGCAGACTACCACGAAAAATGCATCGCTAATGGTGGCAATTTGTAATGTGTGTTCAATAACTGAGCAATTAATTGTTCATAATTCTATATTGAAATGAGTTATCAATGAAGTCCTTTGAAAGAATATAAGCCAATAAGGAACTTACGGCTCTTTTATAATTATAAGATATTATTTTTCTTTATTGTTCCATTTGTTGTTGTAAGTGTTTTTATGGAAACAAACAGAACAGCATTCCAAAAATTCCAGACATTTACAATCTCTAATTATCTAATTAAGGTCAATAGGATCTTGTAAAGATTTGAAACAAATTGAATTAACCTGTACAAGAACTGCACTTGAAGTACTTTTACCCCCACCCATAAAATGATCTTACTCATGCTTTTTTATTGCATTTTCCTTAAATCTTAATTAAACCCAAAAAGTTTTTTAATTTATACTGTATACTTTATAAGCTTGTTTCCTTTAAGCCTAGCTCGTTCCCTATTTTTCACTCTGTTTTGCATTTGGAAACTCTTTTTGGAAGGGTGAATGAATGGATGAAGGTGTTAATCAAGTCTGGCTAATTAGGGAAGATATATTCTTAACTTACAAGAATATTCTTTACAACTTTGACCTGCATAAGTGTGGATGTTAAGGTAGGGGAGGGAACATTGCAAGTTTTCCATTATAAGATAAGAAAATATTTTAGTTTTCCTTTTAGAATGTACGCAGTCTAGTTATAGACCACCCTCTGCCTAGTATACAGAGTGTTTCATTATGACTGCCCCCCCCCCCATCCATAGGCAATACTAGATCACATGCCCCCATAATCTATATACCGTAATAAAGCTTATTCAGTTCTGGACCTATGTGCCAAATTTTAGCATGCCTGATCTTTGGGACATAATTTGTGAACTTGTATTTGGAAGTCACTTATCCCCTCAATTTGCATGTTTTATGTCTACTATTCCTGATGGATTTAAAGAGAGGTATAGAATGCTATGTAATCCATTGTATCATCTAGCGCTCTCTGGTCATTTCTTTGGAATATTTAATACATCTAGATATAAATGTCTTTCGAATATCATAACAAATTATTATATATTTTAATATACCTATTCGCCTTTTCTACTATTAAGAAAACACCACTTTGAAACTCAGAAATAGAACCTCCATTAAGTGGCAAATCGAAACAGTTACAAAATTTCACCAATAAAGACAATTTTGGTAAAAATAAACAACTTGAGAAAAATCGCTTAATGGCTCTTTCTAATGAATCCCCTGGTATCATGAAGACCAAACATGAAGACATAAAATTAAGTACATATAGGATAAACTGTGTAATTACCTGATCATTTCAGCCAGGGTCTCATTCTCAAACAGTGCAAATGCCATCTTTTCAAATGCCTTTCAACATTATCTGGTTGGTAGTCTGGAAGAATGAAAAAATTTCATCTCATTTTTTCAATCGACACCAAAGACAGGTTAAATGGGCCACATAAAAATATTTTCAAGGTTTAAATTTTTTACGTCAAGTTTTTCTTGCAATGTCAAATGAAAGATGGCGATGATATTCATATAAGTAATTTATTTAATAAAATTGGTCTATGTGTATACCAAATAAGCCATCTATTCATTCAAAAGTATTTTAAAAACACATTTTAAAATGAAAACAGTGCAAGTGCTGATAACTTTCAGTGTACTTCTATATAACAATCCATATCATTTGACAATATAATTACAATTGTCGCTAATTGTATCAATTAACCTTACCAATTTTATGTGTTTTACTTACCTCATGATTGGTTGAAAAAAACTTGAACAAATAAAAAAAAAGTGCTGATACCTATCTCAGAACTCTGCTATTTTCTAAATAGGTTATTTTTTCTTGCATTGATAATTGCATTAGAGGCTTGTCTGGCTACAAGCCCCTGTGACGACCCCCCCCCCCTCCCCCACTACAGCAAGGACTCTGATAGAGAAGGTGTTTAGTCAAGTAGAAGGGGGGGGTCACAGAGGCTTGTAGCTAGACTAGAGAGGCTTAATATAATGTAGTGTGCGACTGACTGAGTGTATGACTTATTGTTTTCCACAAATATTTTGTTCCATTTTTCATAATTAAGTACACAGTATATCTCTTAAAAGCCTGTCATCTGATACTCTTCATACTGTCATATGAAGAATATGAAAAAATTCAGAAAATTTTTAGACTGAATTTCCTCGCTTTTTATACATTTTACAAAACAAATCTTACCAGTCTTTTCTAGGCACATAAGTGCACTCTGTGCAAAACTCAGGGGGGGTAGATTTCCCAAAGATGACCTGTAGTATTTGACATGTTTGATAATCAATATCATAAACAGGCTTCAGGCTGTTGTTTTATGAGTATTCTCTACAAGTTTGGATCGAGTAACTTCAATAGTATTACGGTAGTTTTGAAATGACGATGTTGAAATGATGTTAAACTGAAATAAACGCCATTTTAATGATTTCAAATTACTTAACACATGCGCAGCACTGAATGAGCACATGCTCATGGTTGTTCCCGTGATCACATCCTGCAATTTGATTGGACGTCATATAATGGGGAATCCCCTAATACAATAGAATATGAAAGAATTGTGAGAGCTACTCACTTCTTCTGTGCAAAACTTGAAAAATAACATGTGACTCATTTGAGGAATGCAGCAAAATTCCGAACATGCACCCTGGCCTTAATGGTCATAAATTAGACCACTTATGATCTTGATCACTTCTTAAATGTGTTTAGAATTTATGCCGAAGGCAGCGCATGGTAATCGTGTCAACCGATGAATTAGGGACTGGGCTATAGGCAACTATTTGACTTGGAGAACTCTTGCAGATTATTGACATAGACTAGACTAGACTACTAGCAGTTTGTTACATTTTGTTGTTTTTTGGAAATCACTAGCAAAAGTGAAGAATTTTATGAAACCAATTGCATGATTGAAAGTTCGATCTCAATATTAAGATAGAACTCTAAACGTACATAATATAGTTTGTCTATGGTCATCTTATGGCTATATTACTCTAAATGTGCCTAGATATGCGCAAAATCGTCTTGGAATATTTCAAGTTTGAAAACTTCTGCTCGAGTGCGCCACAGGTGAAATCTGATTGGTTAAAATTCCCGGGAAACTACTTTCATTTTGATTCTTTGAAATTAGCACATCGGCAAAACAAAACACAATCACCATCAGTGTGTTCTTTAGATAGTGTAGGGGATCTATGACGAATCTTCAGCGATCTTTCTCCAATCTTTTCGTACTTTTTACCATTTTTATCACGGACGTCAAGTAAGTTTCTGGCGAAAGCCGGAGCATAGATTATTTAGAGGACTGGAAACCAGAATGACCTACCTTTTTATTTCCCGAATCTCGCCTGAAATTAGCTCATCTTGGTGACTGTAACCTGTATATCTGTATTAATAGAGTCTTTTTGTATCGCATCTGCCTCAATTTTAAAGTTTAATTGGTATCTTTAATATGATTTCACTGTTTTTGTGGACTGGTACGATTAAGCCAAGCTGATCTGTTCAAAGTACTTTTAGTACTAATTATCGCAAATGACAATAATTTTGGAAACAAAATTATACTAAATAGATTACTAATCATCTAAGGTAAGAAAAACTAGATGAACAACTGAGTCAATAGTGAGAAATAGGCCAAAATGAACTGCCAGAATTGAAATAGACTGCCATCTTGTTTCCAGTCCTCTAAATAATCTATGCTCCAGCTTTCGCCAGAAACGTACTTGACGTCCGTGATTTTTATAGTCATTTTCTGCAGGTGGAGCACATCACTGTTGAGTGAATGCAAGATACGATTTGCAATTTCGATGTTACCGAAACTGACCGACATTTTCGTTATATTCCAAACCTGTCTCCAATATTTCCGTAATTATGCATCAATAGGGTCTCAAGGGGATACGGGATGGTGTTTATGTATTCATAAGGTATGTATGCATGCTTGAATCACATTATTTGTGTAATATGACCATGGTTTCAGGGTTTAATTAGTTCTGCTTGTCGAAACCTGCTGAACGATTAAATTAACGCATCAAGGGCAAAATGATCATGGAGGTTAGACCTAGCCGGGGCCATAAGACATGTCAGATAAGAAACGAGGCCCAGGCTAGGTCTAATGTTGTTGGACTAACATCCGGTAGGTGAATTATAACATGGGACTTTTGCTAGTGGAAATAAGACGATTAAAAATTTGAAGTGAAAAATTACGACTCCAGGACTGACTCTAGCTTTGTTGGAGAATATCGATGTTGCATTTTGGCTGCCAATCCTTCTTGAAGACATTGACTGAGAAATTTAAAAATTATGAAAAATTATGAATCGTTTGTTTTTCTTAAATTTGCAAGTGACCTGAAGCATTTTATCATAATCTCTTAACTAGTTTATTTATCCTTAACTTATCATTCATATTTCACTCCAAAATTATTTGATAATTGCAAAAAGAATGAAGAAAACTTACATCAGATTAATTTTCTCATTCGTACTCCCGCCATTTCCGGTTTATCAATTCAGGCGACCTCAAAGCTTTCACGAAGTAGGCCTGCGAAGTAGGCCTCTAAAATTAATAATGAAAAGTAATAAAATCAAAGATACAAATAGAATTTGAAAAATTTCTAATTTAATTCATAAGATATTGAATAATAATTAATTTCCAATAGAATTAGAATGAAAAAATGAGAAGTATATAATTAAATATTTCGTGATATGAAATAGACCGTCATTTTTAAGTTTGTTTACAAATGGCTGACGAGGAGATTTCAAAATTGCTCAGAAAAACTGCAATTTATGTATTATGTATCATGTTAGTATACTAGATTACTGTAAGAATGGCAGAGTCCAAATCTAAGACATATTTTGAACAGCTTACATTTGGAGTTGTGAAATCATTGGGTGAGTGGAACATGCACAATAAAATATTGCAGAATGTCAGCTTCTGAAGTTCAATCTGAGCTTGTGAACTTGTGAGTGAACATCTCCTACTTCGAGTCCCATGACTGCATCATCATGATCTTGGGCTTTCAAGAGAAGTAGTTTACTATGTACATCACATGTGGAGATCTATTCAGACTATTGACTCTGTATGCAGTGCAAAAACAAACAAAATCATTAGGCTTACTTCTATATTCATGTATCTTTAAAACTACTATGTTGCTACATTTAATCAGTCAGCATCATTCTAATTTGGCACTGGACTTTATATATGTCTCTGATTGACTGTAAATTGGCCATCACTCGAAATCCGTAGGAAATTACATAGGATGTTCCTAGTTTTTAAAGTTAATAAGGGTAATGCTCCGAATTATGTTAGCTCTATTTTTGCAAAGTTTAAAAGAGCACCTATAAGAGATCTAAGATTAACCTTACCATATCACATCCCCGCGAAAAGATCATCAATCCAAAATAGATCATGTGTTTTTTCTTGTTTAGGAGAGTGGAACTCACTTGAGCCAATTTTAAGAGAGTGCATTAACATACATTCCTTTAAGAGGGCATTGACAAAGAGTTTGATGAGCACAAACATAACTTTGGCATCTGATATCAATGTCAGTAGATCACTTGAAATCTATTTAAACAGAATAAGAGTGGATTTTATATTTAAAGCTCATTTACATGCACATAACTTTGTAAATATTCTTTCGCCAGATTGTGCTTGTGGCCACACAAATGAAACCACAATTCATGTGTTTTTCTCCTGTCCCATTCGACAGAATTATTTTATTACTTTTGAACAACAACTCTGTGATCTAAATATTGGATACAGAAATTTATGTAAGAACAGGCAGGAAAAACTAAACTTTATTCTTTATGGCCACGAAACACTTAAGAAAGAGCAAAACATTGATATTTTGAAGTTGAGTGCAGTGTTTATCAGGAACTGTGTTGAGGGACCCCAGGCAGTCTAGTGACCTATTATGCTTAATAGTATCATTACTATCGGATCATTTGCAGACCTAGTTTTGTGAATCATCATCCTAAAAGTGGCTTATAATGTACCTTACAAAGCCGCTAATGTATTTGTGTTTATTGTAATAATTTGAAATAAAGAAATACAATATAAAAAAAAAAAAAAAAAATTGACTGTAAAATAAGTGATTTCTGATATCCTGAAGTCACATTAGATTACCTTGCCTTCACCATTTGTACTACAGCACTGAGACTCAGGACTCACAAGCCAACAAATATGAACCACTAACCGTGATTGTGTGCAAAAATGTATACAAATTTCCATTAACTTTAGATACTCATTGAGTGATGTCATGTTATAATCTCAATCTTTTTTGTGGATGGTGTATGGCATTTGGTGGTGACATTTAGCATGTTAATGCCTTGTTAAATTAATTAATTGTCCTTGTTTTATTTATTGTAGACAAAAGGAAAGGAATATGTGATGTTCGTTTAATTGAGAAGACGCCTGCAGAGCGCCATACAGTAATATCCTGGGAGCAGGTAGGCTACAGTAAAATTTTTAATGTTTGTAAGTACTTTGAATTTAAAAAATAAGCAATCAAAGGACCATATTGAAACAGTATATGTAAAAATAGAAACATTTATACATGTCCTAACTTTTGCATGTTTTAGTTTGTTTTGTAGTTAGCTGTCATATCTGTGGCCACTAATATTTTGATGCTTCTCTGCCATGTTATTTTCGGAAAAATTAATATGGCTGAAACTCCTTAATTTACAAAAGGCCACAGCTTTGCTGCACATAGCTATCTGAAATATACAAAAGTTAGGACTTGTACATATGTTTCTATTTTTTATACAGTATACTGTATTGTATTAGTATACTATACTGTTTTCTTATTTTTTAAATTAAAAGTACTTACAAACATTAAAAATGTTACTGTAGTTACTTATAAAAATAAGAAATGCACCTCCTATAAGAGACAATGGCGTAACTGAACATTATGTCTGTGCTTGAATATGGTGTATTTCCTCATAAATGGGCCTTATCATAAACCTATAGAGACTACTATCAAAAACTTCAGTTCCGTCATATCATCATTTTTTCTGTACAGCAGTGTACATCACCAAGATTCAAAATATGATGCTTACGGTTTCTGCAGGGACACATTTATTCATATGATCTATCTAAGTATGTTCCTTGGTGGCTTTGATTTGCATTACTTACTTACCCTAATTTTTCGTTTACCCACCAAGATATTCTGTTTTCTTAAAGCAGGTAGGATGATTGTAAAGGACTAAGATTTGGAATCATAGAAATTCATGAAGTCCCGTTTTTCACGTTTTCAAGTTTTATCTTTTTGTCATATACATGTATGTATAAAGGCTTACATGTACATGTACATGATGTACTCCATCATTGATTTTGTGAAAGAAATACTTCATTTCTCAATTTTATTTCAGAAGCACTCATGTTTTCTACCAGAAGATGTTAAAAGTTTCTTCTTAACAACAGATGGACTTGTCTTGAAATGGAGTGTCAAAGTCAATGGTATGTACTATGTATTTAAAGGGAGGGGGTCTATATTAGTGTTGTCTACTTATACTTTATGCTTTTGTTGATTCTAAATGAAGAAAACTTTATATCATTCAAAAATGTTATTGTAGGAAACTTATTTGTTGATTAGTTTCAAATAAAATGTCTTCCTTTTAAAAATCATTGTATGCATATGCATGTACTTTCAAATGACATTGACTTTAGCCTCTCTCCTAATATTCTGTCATCATTTCTATACAACTGGGTAACCTGAGAATCATGAGTTTTGCATGCACTGTAACATTTTTACAATTTCTTTCATTTTCATTACATTGTATTTTAATCTCTGCTAAAAGTATGAATACCACAAAAAGCTCAAATTATTCTTTGATTTTGAATCTGATTTATATTCCTCTAACAATGAATATTTTGCCTGGTTGCATCAGAACCTTGGGAATTTAGGAAACTGTCCATTTGAAATACAGAGGTGTTCCACTTCTAGAGGTGTTTTTTTACCACTATTTTTTGGGAATTAACTCTTTAATTAAAACCTTATATAAATGTTGACACGCCAGTGTTAAGCATATCCTGTTTTATTTATAGATTCCGTATTACCAATTGGTCGAGTAGAGATTAATGGAATATCAGGTCTTACTAAAATAGCCCCAGGGAATTCCATAACTGCAGCAAAGGGGGCACCAGACCTTAATGATATAGAATCTTCAGATGAAGAAACAGAAGGTAATTTTCAGTTCTATTTTCAATGGCAGTTCCCTTTTGTTGGCCTCAGAATTAGTTTTTAGTTTTTTGGCCCAAAATTGTGTAAGGCCCAACATTTTTTTGGGCGCAGAACTTTTTTCCAGACTCTAAATTTGCCCCCCCCCCCCCCCCCCCCCCGCCTTGTTAATTTCTGGATCTGCCACTGATTTTACTTCAGCATTCACTGAAAACCCACACCATTAAACATGTTAAAAGTTTCTCCTTCTTGCTGGAAATAAGATAGAAACATCCACATACCCACATTTAAGTCTTTTAAGGCTTTTAAAGCATTTCTAATTTTATGATAAAAATTGAAACAGCAATAATTTTGAGACTTGTGTAAGATATAAGTAAGACCAAACTGCTTGCTTTTAGGTGATGAAACCAGCTATCCAAGGTTCAACCCCTCATGTCGCATATTTGAACTAGATCCATGTGGTGGCTTTGGAATGGTTTGCTTGGTGTACAGGAACACAAAACCAGGTATGCTACCCTTTTACTAAGGGTTTTCTCATGTTATGAACCTTTCAATCTTCAAAAATTTCAGGTATGGAGTGTGGTCAAACACACATGTCTTCAACCCCCCCCCCCCCCCCTTCTCCATGCATGAATAAAAAACAGATTTAAATATTTTGAATCTTACTTTTACAACATTTGAATTTAAAAAGACATGAAGTAATACATACTGTAGACATTGTAAAAAGGATATTCTCAGAGCTTTTTTCCTTTAAATTGAAAGTGAATGAGAGTATTCCTACATTTGAAAAACAATTGCTTTATCCTATGGAATTTCTGATTGTTTCAACATTTTTTCAAAATTTTATTTCTAATTTTTTTCCAAATGTTTTTATGTCCGTCTGTCTGTCTGTCTGTCTGTCTGTCCGTCCGTCCGTACGTCCGGCAGTTTTCTCCAAAACCGCTACCGATATCACCTTCAAATTTTCAGGGATAACTTATGAGTGCATACAGATGTGGACGAAAAAGTTTCAAGTCGATACCTACTTCCTGTCGGCCATTTTGAAGTCAAATGCTAAAATCCTTGTCTGCAAACTTTAAGAAAAATGGCTTCACTGTTGCTTTTAAAACTTTAAAATCCTGTTCAGCTCACTTGATTCTAGATCTGATTAGGTTTTGGACCTGTAAGCCCAGTCATGGCAGCCATTTTGAATGTTTTAAGAAAAGTAAGCGTGCGATAATACTTTGTATCATATTGAATGGTGTTTTTGAGTTTTCATACTTAGACTATTTAGTAGCTTTATAAAAAATTTCAGGTGTACTTTATTGTAAAAGCCTATGTTATTGTTAACAGTGGTTATATGTGCTAATTTTGTAAAAAGAAATCAGCAAAAAAGTGTAATCACTTTTTTATTGTCGGCCATTTTGGATTTTTCCATCCTAAAATTTTGTCTGTAAAGTCTTGTCTATGCGTTTTTAGGCGAACCGTTTGGTAGATCATTTTCAAATTTTCAGGGATGATTATTAGTATGAAAATCTAGATCTGATTAGTTTTTTGGCATTCTGGGTAAATGTCAAGGCAGCCATTTTGGATTTTCCGTCCTAAAATCTTGTCTGTGAAGTCTTGTCTACGCGTTTTCAGGCGAACCGTTTGGTAGATCATTTTCAAATTTTCAGGGATGATTCTTAGTATGAAAATCTAGAACTGATTAGTTTTTTGGCATTCTGGGTAAATGTCAAGGCAGCCATTTTGGATTTTCCGTCTTAAAATCTTGTCTCTAAAGTCTTGTCTATGCATTTCCAGGTGAAGCATTTGGTAGATCAATCTCAAATTTTTAGGGATGATTCTTAGTATGAAAATCTAGATCTTATAAGTTTTTTGGCATTCTGGGTAAATGTCAAGGCAGCCATTTTGGATTTTCCGTCCTAAAATATTGTTAGTAAAGTCTTGTCTATGCGTTTTCAGGTGAACCATTTGGTAGATCAATTCAGGGATGATTCTTAGTATGAAAATCTAGATCTAATTAGTTTTTTGGCATTCTGGGTAAATGTCAAGGCAGCCATTTTGGATTTTCCGTCCTAAAATCTTGTCTTTAAAGTCTTGTCTACGCGTTTTCAGGTGAACTGTTTGGTAGATCAATTTCAAATTTTTAGGGATGATTCTTAGTATGAAAATCTAGAACTGATTAGTTTTTAGGCATTCTGAGCAAATGTCAAGGCAGCCATTTTGGATTTTTCCGTCCTAAAATCTTGTCTGTAAAGTCTTGTTTTCTGGTTTACTGTTTGACGGATCAATTTCAAATTTTCAGGGATGGTTCTTAGTATAAAAATCTACAGCTGACTAATTTTTTGGGCATTCTTGGTAAATTTTAAGGTGGCCATTTTGCATTTTCAATTCCAAAATTGTAACAGTAAAGTCTTGTCTACTCATTTTCAGGATAACCATTAGACGGGATCACCCATTGGTGGGGACATATTGTACACATTTGTGTTCTTGTTTCTAATTTATCAGATTTTTTTCTAATTTTTTCAAAACATTTTTTCAAAATTTTTTTAACTTATTTTTCAAAGTGGCATGTTATGCCTTTCTGAAGGAACACATTTCTGTCAACAAGGAACAGTTTTCAAAAGGACCAAATATTTTTTTCTATTGACTTACATGACAGAGAACCCTCTCTGTAAGGAACACCTGTCAATTGGGAACAAGGAACAGTGTTTAAGGGCAAATATTAAAAATTCAAGTGTTCACAAGGAACATTGAAAGTTGGTTACACTGTACCTTTCTTTGTCCCTTTGGCTTTTAAATTGTACTTATTAAAGTGCCTGATAAAATATAAAATGCGCATGCATCCAGGTGTTGATAAACTATAAATAGCGAAAACCCAGGGTTTTTGTTTTGAAACATGGATTCAGATGAACTTAACTTCATTCTGACAACTAATCAAAACTGAACAAAATTGATTATACGTAACAGACGATTTATTGTTTTACAATGTTTTGATCGGCTAAATGAATGAAACCAAGAAATTATGACATGTAAAATGGCAATTTTGAAATGTAAAATTTAAAAGTGACAAACACAACCTCCCTATCCACTCTTTATGAGCCCTAATATATACATGCAGCAGTGGTAGTGTACAGCTTATTATCACACTACTGGGCTTTGTATTCTAAAGCTTGTTGTTTTTAATAACACTGTTCACTCGACGTAAATGTTTTGTGTGTGCGCAGTCAACGATAATCATTGTTTTATCCCGGTTATATGACCTCGGCAATTATAACAAAACCGTACTAAACGAAAAAAACGCAAATAAGAGAAAGCTTTCACACACATATAAAAAATGAACTAGTCTAATCCGCCAGTATAAACTCTGTTATATACGTAGCCAGGTCGGGCGCACACTTTAAGTACTATATTACTTTTGTAGCTTCTCCTCTCCTTTGTTGTCATTGTCCTTGTTCATTCATTGTTACTCTTCTGCTTTACTCTCCGACAATCTTTCATCATTTCCTGATGATGCAATCTTAACCAATTCAACAAAACCATAATAGGGATTGAAGGAAGTACATACCCCTTACAAAAATTAAATGATGACAATTTTTTTATTTAAAATATAATGAAAACGAGTAGAATTACCAAGGATAGATAAATGAAATAAATAAATATACATCTAGTAAGTACTCGATTTTGTAATGAAATACTAGAAAATTGGCTCATTCAGTCAAATTTTAGCGAGAAGATGCATGGAATAAAAGTGACATGAGAGAAAAATGATGCAGGGGTAATTTACGAAACCTGATGCAATTATAGGTAAATTCCCCCATTGGCAATGATACCTTATAGTTTTCTATTCACACTTTTACAACAATGGGTAATTAAAAGTCAAAAAGGCCAATAGGTATTAATATCTAATTAAATCTTAATTAACCACATACGTCTATGTGCAATACATAAATCCTACATCTGAAAAAATACTCTGGCCTAAATCATCACAAGATCATATTCAACCAAAATTACACATGCCTCATTAGCATAATTAATGAACGTGCTAATTTTGGCATGCACCATCCTTTTCAATGGCTATATAAAGAGGATGATTTTGAGAGGAATCATTACTTCATCAACAAATCACAATGTTGTCTGCTGCAATCTTTTTGGCTGGACTTGCCTGTGTTTTCGCTGAGGGATACGGATGTAAGTACTTTCCATTTTTTATTATTAAAATGATTTTTTTTTATTTGAGATCAGTGATTGAATTTTTTCAAGATTAACATCAGTTTGTGTGTATCAGTTGAGGAGATACTTTGCAATAAAATCTGAAGATTGTTTCAACTTTTGGTTTATTTTTTTTTAATAATCACTATTTGTTTTTTCTCTGTGGGAATTGGATCTGTGATGTTTTTGAAATCTAGTTGCTGTGTATATCTCATGTAATAATACACTGTCCCATAACTATGAATTCTGAATCATGTAAATGACCATTTAAACTGTTTAATACAAAGCAGTGTAATTTGTAGCTTGTAACTTTGCAAAATGCTGACCATTGAGTTTGTTTAAAGTAATACAGTATGTGTCCTATTGAACCAAAGGCATATTTAAATGCTAAACATGTATTCAATTTTCTAGCCCGATGCTACGACTGCAACTACGCCCCATCTGGTTACACCAAGCAGGTGAACTACTGGACCAGAGTATCCTCCAATGCAGGATACGCTGGATGTGCCCTTGCCAAATATGGAGATGCTGAGTCCCTCGACAAATGGAGCTGCGCATCTGGAGAGTGCTTCATCCGTAAAGACCCCAATGGTCTCGTGTACCGTGGCTGCGCCAACAAGGAGAACCTTCCCCTTGGAGTATCTACCTACAAACAGTGCGCCAATCAGGCTGGTTCTCTCTGGTATTTCTGCAAGGGAGATCTCTGCAACAGCAAGCAACTTGGAGACTATGGAGTCTGTGGATACAAACCTGCTTACTATGATACCTACAAGAGTAAGTCTTTCATATAATGTATTATAACAAAAAAGTTACTAATATGTATGTGTTATAACAACATGAACAACTAGACATTTAAAATCGCCACGGGGGCGATTTCGTAGAATGCCGTTCCTCGCCGCAGCAGCAAATTCGGTGCACAATTGACCTTTTTCAAGGTCACGCAGAGGTCGAATTCCAAAACTGAAAGCATATTTGATATCATATTTTGCCATATTTTTGAAATTTTGGCACTCAATTTAAAAACCCGTACCCTTATCCTCCCAGACGCACTTTAAAGCGCTGTCGCGTGCCCCCTATATAGATTAGGAAAACAAAGTGTTAAACTTGTTATTTCTTGATACCATTTAGGCAGTCATAATATACAGTAATCTGCTCTATATGGGCTTATTAGTCTTTTGCAGATATTATTGACATAGACAATAGCAAACCGGAAGTGTACTTTAATCGAAGAAAATTAGTTTTTATTGCAATTAAAGCTGTTTTATCACCACAATACCACAAATATCACCAAAAATGGCGATTTGGAAGAATCTTTACTTTATTTGGAGCAGTCGAAGTACCCCATATGGTGCAGATAGTGATGAAATCACCCAAATTATAAACCCTAGAGATATGTTAAATGGGAAGAGTAAGGCATGCAAAAAATAACTACAGTGGCTCCTTGAACAGGTAAAACAAGAAATAAGTTTTACGTCATTTTACGGTGAAGGTCAAAGGTCAAGGTCAAAATGTTGACCTAATTTACTCTAGTTTAGTACAGTGTAATACAATGGTACCAATTTCGAATCAATTTGAGCAATTTTAGCAATTTAACCTTTTTGACCTTTTCAAGGTCACCCGGAGGTCAAATTCCAAAACCACAAGCATATTTAGAATCAGGGACATCCATACTTCATACTTGCAAAGAATTGGAATGAAAATCCTAGTTTTCAACTTTGAGGTCATTTGAAGGTCAATGTCAAAGGTCAAGGTCAAAATGGTGACCTAATTTACTCTATCCGAGTACAGTGTAATACAATGGTACCAATTTGGAATCAATTTGAGCGATTTTGATTTTTGAACTTGTTGACCTTTTCAAGGTCACTCAGAGGTCGGATTCCAAAACCGAAAGCATATTTGGAATCAGGGGCTTCTATTCTTTATATCTGCTCAGAATTGGGATCGGATACACAGTTTTCAAATTTTGCCCCACTGGGGTGCCCCATTTTTCAAATTTGGGGCACCCAATTTTAAAACCCGGAATATATGTGAAATGGCAATTGTGAGGGATGGCATATGCAAATTTTGGGTAAAAAATAAAAATGGTTACTCCTTGTACGTGCAAAAATGTAAAAATTTGCGATTTGACCTTGGCTAATTAGGGAGGGGCTAATTAAAAAAATGAAGGCATTTCCCTGTAGCCCAGGAACATGTCAAGGTTGATGGTATATGCTAATTAGCTGACATGTCGGTGTGTGCGGAGAAATCTTGCGTGGAATAATAATAATAATAACTAGATTTTGGAAATTGAACGAGTTCAATTTCAGACTCCAGATCTAGACTTTTTTTAGTCGAGTCATCCAGAATAAGCCAAGTCATCCAAAATAAGCTAAGTCATCCAGAAAAAGATGGATGGATGGATGGATGAAAAAGGAAGGAAGGATAGGATAGAATAGGAAGGAACTATAGGATAGAATAGGAAAGAATGATATAATAGAATAGGAAGAAGGGATATAATAGGAAGGATAGGAAGGAGAGGATACGAAGCAAGGGTAGATAGGAAGGAGAGGATAGGATCAGAAAGGAAGGATGGATGCATTTTTTAATATTTTCTTCTCTACTCTTGACTTTCTATCAGGATACCATCAGATCGATTTTTCTTGAAATTTCAAAACGTCATAACTTCCGAACCGGAAGTCGGATCGAAATTTGATTTGCAGATTCGGATTCCTGACAAAATTCTATCCCTAATTCATAACTCATACGTGAAATTTGGCGAATTTTTATTTTGACCTACTTTTCGGACACGCCATAACTTCGGAACCGGAAGTCGAACTGAAATTTGGTTTGCAGATTCGGATTTCTGAGAAGATTCTATTCTTAATTCATAACTCAAACGTTAAATTTGGAGAACTTTTTATTTTGACCTACTTTTCGGACACCATATCTCAAAAGTGGGTCAAAATACTTTCTGACGGCAAAGGACTAACACTATTAGCATATTCTTGGCTACATGTATACATAATTTCATAGAATATAATTAAAGTGTAGTGTCAGAATCGAAAAAATAAGGAAAACCCATGAATTTGACCTAGATTTTGACCTAGGCATTTTGGTGTCCAAATTTTCAAGCTAGATGGCTTTTGAGGTTCCCTTCCTTTAAAGGCTTTGATTATATGAAGCTGAACTCAGTCTATATTCTGTATTTTTCACTTCAAAAAAATCTTTTTTTCCTATTGACTTAACATGGGCACCGATTTTTGAGTTTTCAAAACGCCATAACTTCCGAACCGGAAGTCTGATTCGAATTTGGTTTTCAGATTCGGAATCCTGAGAACATTTCCTATAAGACTAATGTCCTGGACATTTGATTCTGAGAATTTTTTTTTGGACCTCGTTTTCGGACACTGATATCTCGAAATCGGTTTGAGATATCAAAAAACTAAATCCACCCTAGCTTACCTACTTTTTTATAAGGAACACAATGAAAAAAAACCGGATCAAAAATATTGAAGGACGACCGAGAAAATCGAAAAAAGTGACAAAGTACTGGATTTGACCTAGTTCTTGACCTTTGACCTAGATAAAAATTTGACCCAATTTCCGAGGAACTAGATACTGGACCTAAATTGACCAACCGATTAACTTTACTGAAGACCCTATGGTTATTGAGAAAACGTGCCTAGAATAATAACTAGATTTTGGAAATTGAACGAGTTCAATTTCAGACTCCAGATCTAGCCTTTTTTTAGCCGAGTCATCCAGAATAAGTCAAGTCATCTAAAATAATCTAAGTCATCAAGAAAAAGAAGGATGGATGGATGGATGGATGAAAAAGGAAGGAAGGATAGGATAGAATAGGAAGGAACGATAGGATAGAATAGGAAAGAAGGATAGAATAGAATAGGAAGAAGGGATAGAATAGGAAGGAGAGGATACGAAGCAAGGGTAGATAGGAAGGATAGGATAGGATCAGAAAGGTAGGATGGATGCATTTTTCAATATTTTCTTCTCTACTCTTGACTTTCTATCAGGATACCATCAGATCGATTTTTCTTGAAATTTCAAAGCGCCATAACTTCCGAACCAGGAGTCGGATCGAAATTTGATTTGCAGATTCGGATTGCTGACAAAATTCTACCCCTAATTCATAACTCATACATTAAATTTGGCGAATTTTATTTTGACCTACTTTTCGGACACGTCATAACTTCGGAACCGGAAGTCGGATCGAAATTTGGTTTGCAGATCCGGATTCCTAACAGAATTCTACCCTTAATTCATAACTCAAACATTAAATTTGGAGAACTTTTTATTTTGACCTACTTTTCGGACACCATATCTCAAAAGTGGGTCAAAATACTTTCTGACGGCAAAAGGCTTATGCTATTAGCACACTCTTGGCTACATGTATACACACTTTCGAGGAATATAATTAAAGTGTAGTGTCAGAATCGCAAAAATAAGGATAAACTATGAATTTGACCTAGATTTTGACCTAGGGATTTTGGTGTCCAAATTTTGAAGTTAGGTAGCCTTCGAGGTTCCCTCCTTTCATAGGCTTTCATTATTTTAAGCTGTACTTAGTCTATATCTCGTATTTTACACTTCAAGAAAATCTTTTTTCCCATTGACATAACATGGGGCACCAAATTTAGTGATTTTTGAGCTTTCAAAATGTCATAACTTCAGAACCGGAAGTCGGATCGAAATTTGGTTTGCAGATTCGGATTCCTGAGAAAATTCTATACTTAGTTCATAACACACACATTAAATTTGGAGAATTTTTTATTTTGACCTACTTTTCGGACACCATATCTCAAAAGTGGGGCAAAATACTTTCTGACGGCAAAAGGCTAACACTATTAGCACACTCTTGGCTACATGCATACAAAATTTCGAAGAATATAATTAATCTGTAGTGTCAGAATAGCAAAAATAAGGAAAACTTTGAATTTGACCTAGATTTTGAACTAGGCATTTTGGTGTCCAAATTTTGAAGCTAGATGGCTTTTGAGGTCCCATTCTTTTAAAAGCTTTCATTATATTTAGCTGAACTCAGTCTATATTTCGTATTTTTCACTTCAAAAATATATTTTTTCCCATTGACTTAACATGGGCACCAAATTTAGCGATTTTTGAGCTTTCAAAACGCCATAACTTCCGAACCGGAAGTCTGATTCGAATTTTGTTTTCAGATTTGGAATCCTGAGAAAATTTCCTATAAGACTAATATCCTGGACATTTGATTCGAAGAACTTTCGTTTGGACCTCGTTTTCGGACACTGATATCTCGAAATCGGTTTGAGATATCAAAAAACTAAATCGACCCTAGGTTTTCTACTTTTTTATAAGGAACACAATGAAAAAAAACCGGATCGAAAATATTGAAGGACGACCGAGAAAATCGAAAAAAGTGACAAAGTACTGGATTTGACCTAGTTCTTGACCTTTGACCTAGATAAAAATTTGACCCAATTTCCGAGGAACTAGATTCTGGACCTAAATTGACCAAATGACTGACTTTACTGAAAATTTTATGGTTATTTGGAAAACTGGTTTAGAATAATAATAAGAATAAGAATAAGAATAAGAATAAGAAAACTGACGAAAACAATAGACTCCAGATTTCATCTGGAGTCTAATAATAAGAAAACTGACGAAAACAATAGACTCCAGATTTCATCTGGAGTCTAATAATAAAAATAAGAAAAAGGCGAAAACTATAGAATGCCGTTTCTTCGAAACCGGCATTCTAATAACTATAACAATAACATGAAAATGCAAAATAAACTGAAAAAAACAAACTTCTCCTGAAACGTCCTTGATTGCCCAGATCATGTGATTATCGTAAATTTCAGGTCCCTGTGATGGCAAATGCTACAACAACCCCAGCGGTCTTTTCGCTGACAAATACAACAAGAATGGTTTCATCCAGTGTGGATGTGACTACAAATATGGCAAAGCCTGTATCTGCTGCAAGCCTTTCTTCATGAAGTGCCCATACGGTAAGGATAATCATTTATCACAACATGAAACAAAGTCGTTTGAAAAACATGTACTGGGAAATGTCATATTAGAGAGATACTGTATGTTAAATGAATAGCTAGTATGTAGTATGTAAATTGTTATTGAGATCTCATGAAGCATAGATGACAGTGTATTGTAGTCTTCTTATCAGATTACAATGGTCCGTACAATAGCAATAGAATAGTGCATTTTAACATTTTATAAAATCCACTATATGATTATACTTTTTTATACAGGAACTGCCTTTGATGACTACACCAAGGTATGCAGCAAGGCTGCTTATAACCCACACTACGCCCCTGCCCCATACAAGCCTGAACCAACCTATGAGGCTGAACCAACATATGAGGCTGAACCTGTCTATGAGGCTGAACCTGTCTACGAGGCTGAACCCACTTATGAGGCCGAGCCAGTCTACCATGCCCCATCATACGGATATGGATATAGATACCAAGCCCCATCATACAGATACAACAACGTCTATTAACTGTTAAACAAATATAAATTTTTGCAATTTTTGTGCAATATTACAGTTATATGTTGTTAATAAATGCTTACAATTAAATTAGAAATGTATTTTGTGCTTTCGATCTCAAATTATGGAAGACATTCGTAGATTATCAAGACATTCATACATGGTAGAAAATATTGAAAGTTGGTGAACACAAACCTTTAAATAAACAGTTTAAAAGGGAACCTGTTTTAGGTCTTCGAACCACTATTACAATTGCAATCCAGTTCCTCATGGACCAAATAGAAAATACATTAAGAAAATAAATGTATTTCTCAATACAAACTCTTCCTATAAATATAGGAACCCTTAGAATTTTAACAAGTATAAAATGAAAGCATTTTCAGACACAAACCATAATATAGTAATAAGGTGACACATTAAAATAGTCTATATTCCTCCATTTTAATCTTCCATTTTTGATAAACATGGTATTTCATCCGAGATGTCATTATCCTCACTCTCCCAATTTATTCGTGGAATGCTTCATGCTTCCCTACATGTATGTGGTAAATGTCATATTTCTCAAATGCTTTCTTATATGGTAAAACAAATGTTATACTGGTTGTTATAATCATTGAGGTTTATCATACAGTATTTCTTGAATGTGTCTAGCTATTTATGGTAAAAACAGGAAGTGGGTCAGCTTAAAGCACTATTGTATAATTGCAATTTGTTTTATGCCTCTTTTGTGTGAACCCAATAAATGATTTCAACTTTATGAACCCATAAGTACCAACCAGAGCTCAACATACCGTGAGCATTTAAGGATCCAAATTTAGCTGATCATATCACCATGCAAGCTAATACATATGGTCCTCTACCTTAGCTACCCGGGCTTAGCTATGCTATGATACTGCTGAGGAAACTCGTGGAAACTCATGAGGTTTACTTGAATATAAGCTGTTGGTTTAAAATACCCATGCAATACACAGGCCGTAGCCAGGGGGTGTGAACCTCCCCCCCCCCCCATGGGCCAAAAGTTATTTCAAAATCATGCAGTTTTTCACCATTCTGTGCACTTTTTAAATGATTTTGGCCATTTTTGAACCAAAATTGTCAAAGTGAACCCCCTTGGACTTTTCAGAGTGACACCCCCCCCCCCCCCCTTGGCAAATCCTGGCTAAGGGTCTGTAACACATACAATTCAATGTTCATTAATTGTTTGAATAGCATTACCTAGCATATTCTTCTCATTTATAATTTGACAATTTTTCTAGGTGTCCCAGCTCATGACCCAGAGATTTGGTTTATGGACCGAGCATACAGATGGCACTTTCTCGCTGACAACTTCACAGCATATTTCCGACTGATGGTTGCCCATGTTGGATTGCCTCAATGGCAGTATGCATTTACAGACATTGGCCTCAGTCCTTTTGCAGAGGTAAATATGGTTCAACTATCCCCTCTAGCTACATGTAGTGTGAATGTGTGTATGAATGTTAATATCTAAGCACAAGTGCCAAAGGAAAGGACCAAATAAGTTGCCATGTGTAAGTAGGTTACTTCTGGTGTGTCTGAGCTTAACCACCTGTTCCCTCAGATTGCCTGATGAAACAACCTTTTTGGGGCTGAATGAATTCATATTTTTCTTTGAAAATTTGGCAAGGCACTGCCTCATGTCCGGTTACACTCATGATTGCACTTTGATTGCACTTGTGCTGATGGGTCCTTGTACAAGCAGGTTGGTGCTACATTATTCTTGTGATCAAAATTCCAGGTGTGAAAACTGGTGAAAATCAACTGTTGCCTGCTCCTAATGAAACCCCTGGAGACTATAACAACATGTCACCACTTTTCAAATTTTCCATGTTAAATTTATGATTTTCATTAATCTTGCCTGTTGTTTTCATTTAATTAGCCTGTTGTAAGAAATTCTAGTGAAACCCTTGGTCACTGACTTTTTGTTGTGTTTACCAGTCTGCTTTCAGCATTCAGTGTCTATAAAAATGTCAGATGACATTTTGCATGTTAATTAATGCCTTGTATAAATTTCTATAGATGCTAGGGCATTAAAATAGTCCCAAGACCTAATTTGATTTTGGCATGCTGGGTAAATAACATGGTGGCCATTTTGCTCTTCTCAGTGCAATATTTATCATTGTGTGATAAGATTTATGGCATGAGCCCACGGAACAGAGCCATTTTTACTAATTCATTCTTCCAATTTTTATTGACAGCAATGGTTCAATGTATATGCGCCCTTACGTATGGGGCTAGACAGCGGGGACTACTCTGAGAATTATGAGGAAACTGGCTTAGAGGATACACCCAACCCCTGTCTTGATGTTGGAAAAGTCTTTAAAGGAAAATCAGATAAAAAGTATGTACTGTAGTATATATTAAATACTCCTAGTTCATTACAGTATCATTGGAAACCTATGTGGCCAAGGCATTTCTTTCATGCATTCTGAGACAATAGTTTGCAATATTACTATTATAATTTAAAAAAGTCAAAATGCTTGTTTATTTGGTTTTTGGTTTTTCAATTCAATAGCAGGGGTATATATTAAATACCCCTACTTTATTATTTCTTAATCAGTATTATTGGAGACCTATGTGGCCAAGGCATTTCTTTCATGCATTCTGAGACAATAGTTTGCAATATTACTATTATCATTAAAAAGTCAAAATACTTGGTTATTTGGTTTTTCAATTCAATAGCAGGGGTAAGAAATAAAACAAATGTGACTAACTCATATATTTTACCCTAAATTGGACTGGTTTTTTCATCGATTGATTGATTGATGGTAAAATTTGTGAATCATCTTGATTTTCTTGCATCATTGAACATCCGTAACAAACGTAACGCTTTTGGTAATTTCATGTTGTTACACTTTTGTAACCATTCATGATTACTTATCAGATGGTAAAGATTTGTCACAGTTCTCTAATTCATTGTATTGTACGTTGCAGAAAGCAGGCTGCATCCTCAGGTCAGGCAGGTAAAAAGAAACCTGGGCCCCCTTCAACAACTCAGGTCACTAATAAGTAAGTTACTTTTTTATTATTCATTATACTTGTTACATATATTTGTATACACATGTATGTTTACACATTTTGATTAAAATTTTAGTGAAAAAATAGCCAGTTTCATTAAATATGAAAAAGCATGACCAATTGGTCAATTTTCATTAAAACATCACATTTTAAATCAACATACAAATACTTTTTGCAAAAAGTAATAAATTAATTGTTTGTTTGCTATTATCATTATTTGTTTATTTTTCAGGCCTGGAAGTGGGCCATCAGCAACAAGAAGTCAACCAACCACTTCACAACCACAATACAAAGCTGTATCTAGGTAGCACACATATGTGGTGTGTCATGATGAACTATGTGGTGTCTCATGATGAATTATGTGGTGTTTTATGATGAACTGTAAGATGTCTCATGATGGACTATGTGTTTTTCATGATTAACTGTTGCTTGTGTCATGATGAACTTTTGTGTGTGGTGTCTCACCTTAAACTACATGTAAAACCATGAGATCAAGATACAGTTGTTGCATCATACATGTCATACTATCAAGATACAACCAAGTTGAACCAGCACTCATGAAAAAACTTCTTGAGGACCTCAAAACAAAGCTGTGTCTAGATAGAGAGCACATATGCGGGATATCATGATGAACACTTTGGACTCTCATGATGAACTAATTGTTCACTGGACCCCAAATGTTAATAAAGATGTTACATCTTTAGAACAAAATGGATGAACTTCCGCCAGAGGAATTTTTTATTTTTATCATTTTCACATATGGGTAAAATACATGTATTTGGATACAAATCGACCTCATTCTTGGAGAAAATCCACCTCTCCCTCTATCTAATATACTCTATATTAAAGCTAAGAGGGACTTATCATGGGGACTTACTCGCCATGGTAAAAAATTCTCTGACGAAGTTCATCCATTTCTTTATCAAGACGTAACATCTTTATAACCAGGTGGGGACCAGAGGTATTGGTTATATGGGAATAACACTTATGTTGTGTAATGATGTATATATGGCCCCACTAGTCTAAGACATCAGTCAATTACATGTATTACAAGCCCTAATACAAAGTTGCCTCTATTCCTAGATTTCTCTTTTATTAAAAGCATCTTGATTGATTGCAAGGGGGATACAGTCTACTTGAAAATTGATGTGAAGCAAGAGTTACTTTCTCAAAACATTTTTACAACTGAGCACGCAGACCATCCGATTGCATTGAACATACATGTATGCATGACACGCTCTTAAAGCCAACATGGAGTTCACGTTTTAATGGTTGTACAGAATTCAAAACGTCCAAGGAGTTTCAAAAAGAGAAAAGTGGAATCTTAGAGCTCAGGAAACTTAAAATAAATGTGACTTGTACAACAATCAAGTTAGTATGAGATATTGTATTGTTAAAACATACATTCTAGTATTTTCTATTTCTCTGCGCGTGATGTTCAGTCAAGACCATTCGTATGTCTATGTTTCAGACAAATGACATTGATTGAGCATCATGTCACTGAAAGTTCTGGGGTAGCGTCAATGCACTCCATGTTTCTGTTATAAATACTTTAATTAAATGTAAAATTTATTAAATGTTCGATGTGAAAATGTTCCACTACATCGTCCTAAAGTTGCGTATGACGTAACGCCAAAAACGACTCTATTTTCTTACTTCTCTAGAACTGCTTTATAAGCGATGTGTATCTAATTTAATGGTTACATACATGTATAGCCTTGTCCAAGTCAGTTTCTTTTATTTATCTTGATTTTCAAATTATATACATACAATATTGATTTCAATCAATAATCATTATATTTTTGGCTCAAGAGAATATTTTCTATTGGCCTATTGTAAACATAATATTGTACAATTGCATTAAGTGGAAAATAAATTAACTGTCAAAGAACCAAAAACTGTTTCTATTATCTGTTTTTAATATGCTACTTTTTTCAAACTAACGTAATTGACTTTTACTAAATACTGTGCCAACCTGAATATTGCAACTCAAAGTAGTAGTGTCAAAAATTGGACATCAAAATTCTATCCTAATTGAGGAGGGTGGGTATGATGATTCTAGATGTAAGCTTACATGTACATATTTAGTTTGAGTTTTAAACTTTGTCAGTTTGTCGAATGGATCTTTATTTGAAACTGTGATTCCACTAAGGCACCCCACTAAGCACGTGTTAATCTCCAGATAACTAGTCATTGGACCAGATAACTAGTTTGATAATCAGACTTTGATCAAATCTAGTAAGTCTAATGTGTCTCTTTCTGAGACTTTCTTGTATAATTGCACCTAGCACATGTTAATCCCCATATCATTGGTTTGATCATCACCCTAATTGATATGGAGACTTTCTTGTATCATTGCACTTAGCACATGTTAATCTCCATATCATTAGTTAGATCATTCTAATGGACCAGGAGACTTTCTTGTATCATTGCACTTAGCACATGTTAATCTCCATATCATCAGTTTGATCATTCTAATGGATCAGGAGACTGTCTTGTATCATTGCACCTAGCACATGTTAATCTCCATATCATCAGTTTGATCATTCTAATGGACCAGGAGACTGTCTTGTATCATTGCACCTAGCACATGTTAATCTCCATATTATCAGTTTGATCATTCTAATGGATCAGGAGACTATCTTGTATAATTGCACTTAGCACATGTTAATCTCCATATCATTGGTTTGATCATTCTAATGGATCAGGAGACTTTCTTGTATAATTGACTTAGCACATGTTAATCTCCATATTATCAGTTTGATCATTCTAATGGACCAGGAGACTGTCTTGTATCATTGCACCTAGCACATGTTAATCTCCATATCATTGGTTTGATCATTCTAATGGATCAGGAGACTTTCTTGTATAATTGACTTAGCACATGTTAATCTCCATATCATTGGTTAGATCATTCTAATGGATCAGGAGACTTTCTTGTATAATTGTACCTAGCACATGTTAATCTCCATATCATTGGTTTGATCATTCTAATGGATCTGGAGACTTTCTTGTATAATTGCACCTAGCACATGTTAATCTCCATATCATCAGTTTGATCGTTCTAATGGACCAGGAGACTGTCTTGTATCATTGCACCTAGCACATGTTAATCTCCATATCATCAGTTTGATCGTTCTAATGGATCAGGAGACTTTCTTGTATCATCGCACCTAGCACATGTTAATCTCCATATGATTAGTTTGATCACCACGCCGATTATATAGAGAGCTTCGACAACCGAGACCACAGACATACCCAGATAGAAACCAAACACGTTCCCAATGTCCGTCATTACATTGTCATAAGTGTAAGTCCTTTCCTCGAATACAGTCCTCACATCGAGAGACTCGAAATGAATATTTAGTTTCATGAAGTTTTGATCCATTACCTTGTCCAAAGCGTTTGTTAAAGTAAATCTTGAATTCCCGAACGTGTATCGCATTGATTCATGTGTAGGGGGAGGTATATAGATCCTATACCTTTGAGCTCTGGTTGCGACGTGAAAACAAAATTCTATCAATTCAAGTGGAGCATTTTCGCATGAATGTGATGTCCTGTAAAACCGTGAACTAGTGTCGAGAAGCTTATACAGAAGATTTTTCGTCTTGGGATGTCGCTGTAGAAATTTGAACAACCCTCTGTGGTGTCCGCGTTCAACAACTTTTTTTTGGGGCCATGGGATAGTGTTAATTAAATGTGTGTATGTATTTTCCTTGCATGAGCTTTTGCATTTGCACGATGTTCTTTCGCTCATCAACCCTTGCTCACATCGCAGTCTTTCTATTATGCTGTTTGAGATCTTGAAAAGTTCTTTTATGTCACCTGATATTTTACAATTGGGCCATGTTGGTTTAACAAAAACTTTCAAGAGTAGCTCAGACATGTTTCCACAAAATGGTGTTTTCGTGAAGTTATGCTTGGTTGGAGTAATGAACATTGGTGAGATGCAGCCACACCTTTTAGCGATTCTCTCTTGTATATACTGATCAACACATGGATCGTAAGAATACCCATACGTAGTATTTGTAATGTAACCTACATCAGTACATCCACCATATGGAGGCAGAAGTCGTGTACGCGTTTCTTGTGTTATCCCGACGGATGAAAATCGGCCAGGGCATATGTAAAATCCTTCATTGTATGGTCTTGGCATTGTCTCTGGTTTGTGTAGAACAACTTGAACACCATCACTTGGTGTCGCAAATATTGTAGTGAATCCGTCTCTTACCTCCTTATTCGAATTAACTGATGACAATGGATTTGCCCGGCCTGTGTACAGAATTAATGCAATGCCCTTATCAGGCCCGATTTCGTTCACATAGTCATTTGGTTCACTCAAAGTCAATGTAAAACATTGCCCATATACAGTATTGGTTCTTGTGATGTTCATCTGTGATTTGCACGGCTTATTGTTATATGTACATTCGAGGATGAAGTCTTCAAGTTTAATAGGAGTTGCAAAAGTCTCATAGTCGATTGGTACATTTTCAACAAGCCATCCACTTGAAATCAGTTTGTGCCGTAACTGAAAAATATCTTGTAAAGGTAAGCAGCCTCTCTCATATTTGTCAATTTTTCTGATTGTATGGGCATCATAGCTTTCCTCTGGCTGGAATATAACTTTATACGAACAGTCCAGCATGTGCACACGTGTCCACAATTTTTCAGTAAAGTTCTTGAGTTTTCCCCGGACTTTTGGGTTAATATCGCGCATGTAGTTAGGTATGAACGGATATAACGTGACTGCAGGAAATGCTAATGGCTGAGTGGTCACAGATATGCCATCTTCTACAGGGTACGAGTAAAACTTTACAACGACACTGGCTATCAGACTCACTGCCATGGAAACCGTTCCAAGGAAAATAATAGTACATGTTATGGTGGACAATTTTTCTTTTGCTTTGAGTATTCTTTTTGGTCCATGTATGGATGTCATTTCAGAACATTCTGCCAACGATGAACTGATCTTCCTTCGAAATGATTTCATTTGGTCGCTTTGTGTTGCTATGGTTGCAGGCTTGTTGTGAGACATGTGAGAGGACTCTGTTCCTGAAGTGGATGCAGAGATGTTTGGATCATCCTGGATCTTATTTTCCACGCTAAGCTCAATCTTGTTCTCAACATGATCCTTATTTCTATGTGAATCTTGACCAAGCAAGTATCAATAAGAACGCCTTCACGTAAATGCATATCATTTCTGGTGGTTGATTCTTGTTTTTGAACGTCACAACTGAATTCATTTGTATGTTCTCTGCGTTGGTCTATCTCAATTGAGGATTTGTTTTCCTCCTGTCGATTTTTATCAAAATCGTTTACCTCCTGGTGGCCAGTTTCTACTACAGAACTTGGGTAAAGATGTTCTTCTGAGTAACGCTG